TAGTGGTAATGGTGGTGATGGTGATGGTGGTGATGGTGGTGGTGGTGAGGTGGTGGTGGCGGTGGCGGTGGTGAGACGGTGGTGGTGGTGGTGATGGTGATGTCAGTAGCTGTGGTGGCGATAGTGGTGGTGCTGGTGGTGGTGACAATAGTGCAGGAGCAGCTGACGTTGGCCGAGGATTTACTCTGGGCCAGGCACTGTTCTAAGCTCTTTACACATATCGCCCACTTAATCTTCACAAATGTCTCAGTTGAAACTATTACAATCATCTTTCCCATCTTGCAGAAGAGGAAACTGAAGCACAGGAAGCTTAGGTGTCCCGCCCAAGGCCACACAGCTGGAAGTTAAGCACACGGGATTTGCACCCAGGCCTCTGGCCTCAGAGCCCACATTCTTACCCAGGACCTTATTCTGCCTCAGAGCAGAGCTGATCAAACAAGGGACCTGAGGCGGTGCTTTGGGACCACGTGATGCTGATGGTTGAAACACCCCATGCATTCCTGAAAGGCCCGGATCCCCAGCATGAGAGAGGTGATGGTTTGAGCCCAAGGCCTGGCGTTGGTGGATCTCAGGAGGCGATGACTGCGGAGGGGAGGCAGTGGTTAGGAGCAGCGGCTTTAATCTGACGCTTGCCTGGGCTCCACTCCCAGAGCTACAGTGGCTAGGCCCTGTGACACTAGCGACACTGTCCTCCTCTGTAAACGGAGCTAAGACTGGGCCTGAGCTAGCAGCTGTGAGAGGAACTAATGAGATACTGTGCATCAACCCTTAGTACAGTGCCTGGCACATGGTGAGCACTCAGTAAACAAACCATTATATTATTATTACTGTTCTTATTACTGATGACGTTGTAGGACTCACTCTGCTTTCTCCTCGGTATTTTTGCTGGAGGAAATGACCCCTGCTGGTGTGATAAGCCCCAGCTCACACTTCTGGAGAAAATTGTGATTGAAGTAAGAGGCCCATGATTGGAATTCCAAAAAGATGATTTACAGAAAAGTTGCAAAGATAGTTCAGAGAGCCACCATATCATATACCCTTCATGTAGCTTCCCCTGGCATTGACCTGTTACCTAACCATGGTACATGTGTCAAAACTAAGGAATGAACATTGGCATAATGCTATTTATTAAACCCCAGACTCTGTACAGATTTCACCAGCTCCTCTGGCATGCTGTCACAGCACACATTCTAGCAGACCTCATTGTATTTGTTCTTTCAGTATTTTTCAAAACACTTAGCTTATGAATTATATCCTTGTTTTTCTTGAGCATACAAATAACATGTTTATTTGGAAAAAATAACATGTTTATTTGGAAAGCAGACATTATAGAAATGTACAAAGTAGGAAAGTGAGCTCTGTCCTCACAGATGACCCTGTTGACTTTCAGTCTCACTTGCCAGGAGTGGTGCACACACATGTACATCCAATTGTATCGCAAAGAGAGCTCTGGTAACACCCTGCCCTCCACAGGATGCCTTTGTCACTCACCAGCATGGGGTGAGCATCTGTCCATCAGAGTGCAGATGAAATTCTGCTTTTACAAGGCATTTACTTTTTTTCCTGATTATGAAAGTCATAAATTAGCAAGAAAGCTAAAGTCTCCTATGATTTCTCCCTTCCTCCCTCGAAAGACAAAAAAAAAAACAAAACCATAATGTAGTTTTGTGTATATAATCTAGGCATATGCATATATACACACATGCATACATTTCCAAGAAAAGAACCATACTAATTCGTTGTCTATTTTGTTTTGTTTTTAAAAGCTACCAATATATTGTGTGCATCTTTCTGTATCTGCACGTTCTTAACAGGTCACATTTCATAATGTGGCTACATAAACATTCATATATAATTATAATATATATAATGATTTTTTTAGCCAACCCCTGTTGATAGACATTCTGGGTTTTCCAGTTTTCCTTTTTGTAAATAATGTTTCAGTGGACTTGGCAGCAAGATATCTCTTCACACTCTTTGGAATGTTTTTCTAGGATAAGTTCTAGAAGTAGCATGCACTAGCTTAATGAGCTTGGCAGGGACCGCCCCCCCAGACTAGGACAGCTGCAGGATGATTAAGTTTTCCTCCCCTCCCCCTTTCTCCTTCCCAGATACTTTCATGGTGGAAGATGCGGTGGAAGCCATTGGGTTCGGAAAATTTCAATGGAAGCTGTCTGTTCTCACCGGCTTGGCTTGGGCAAGTATATCTGGGGGCAGTAACCTCACATTCCGTCTCCAGGGAAACTTCTTGCTGCTCAACGGGGTCTCCCCGGCTTAAGGGAGAACACATTTCCCTTCACACAGAACCGTTGCTTGAACTAGCAAAGTGTAAGTTGGGTGGCCCTGGTCATAATGAAGGTCTCTGCTTAGGGGGAGTCTGGCATGGTTGGCAATTGCCCTCCACAACTGGAGTTGAAGCTTCGGGTTAATTGAGTGGTTCTCAATCTCTGGAGTTTAGGGCTACTATGAGATTATGATGTCACTGTGGGGCTCACTCTAGAAAAACTTCTTCAAGAGAAGTTAAAATCCCCTAGGTAGCTTAAAATCCCCTAATCTACCTACAACAAAGAACTCATGCAGACCTTTGATACAAATGTTTGTGAATAGTGCAAAGTAGTAAGCTAACTGCGTATTTTTTCCAAATGGATCTAAGATGTCCCCACATCATTTTCTCCATTAATTTGAAAGGCCACCTATATCATCCATCACATGCCCATGGCCACACAGGTCTGCTCTGGACTCTCATTTCTGTCCCATGGTTCTATCTGTCTAGTATCTAGGCATATGCATATATACACACATGCATACATTTCCAAGAAAAGAACCATACTAATTCGTTGTCTATTTTGTTTTGTTTTTAAAAGCTACCAATATATTGTGTGCATCTTTCTGTATCTGCACGTTCTTAACAGGTCACATTTCATAATGTGGCTACATAAACATTCATATATAATTATAATATATATAATGATTTTTTTAGCCAACCCCTGTTGATAGACATTCTGGGTTTTCCAGTTTTCCTTTTTGTAAATAATGTTTCAGTGGACTTGGCAGCAAGATATCTCTTCACACTCTTTGGAATGTTTTTCTAGGATAAGTTCTAGAAGTAGCATGCACTAGCTTAATGAGCTTGGCAGGGACCGCCCCCCCAGACTAGGACAGCTGCAGGATGATTAAGTTTTCCTCCCCTCCCCCTTTCTCCTTCCCAGATACTTTCATGGTGGAAGATGCGGTGGAAGCCATTGGGTTCGGAAAATTTCAATGGAAGCTGTCTGTTCTCACCGGCTTGGCTTGGGCAAGTATATCTGGGGGCAGTAACCTCACATTCCGTCTCCAGGGAAACTTCTTGCTGCTCAACGGGGTCTCCCCGGCTTAAGGGAGAACACATTTCCCTTCACACAGAACCGTTGCTTGAACTAGCAAAGTGTAAGTTGGGTGGCCCTGGTCATAATGAAGGTCTCTGCTTAGGGGGAGTCTGGCATGGTTGGCAATTGCCCTCCACAACTGGAGTTGAAGCTTCGGGTTAATTGAGTGGTTCTCAATCCCTGGAGTTTAGGGCTACTATGAGATTATGATGTCACTGTGGGGCTCACTCTAGAAAAACTTCTTCAAGAGAAGTTAAAATCACCTAGGTAGCTTAAAATCCCCTAATCTACCTACAACAAAGAACACATACAGACCTTTGATACAAATGTTTGTGAATAGTGCAAAGTAGTAAACTAACTGCGTGTTTTTTCCAAATGGATCTAAGATGTCCCCACATCATTTTCTCCATTAATTTGAAAGGCCACCTATATCATCCATCACATGCCCATGGCCACACAGGTCTGCTCTGGACTCTCATTTCTGTCCCATGGTTCTATCTGTCTAGTTCCATAAAGGTACCACAGTGTATAATTGCCAGGGCTTCCTAGTATATTTTAATCTAGTAAAAGGTTATACTTATTAAATATATTGACAATTCTACGTGAAGAATGACCTATTCACCAGAGATAGACTAGTCTTTAATTGAGCCAAAGAGTAAAGATCATTGTCTTGCTACCTCTATACAAATTTTTTTTTCTTAGATTTCAGAAATATGATGTTTTCCTATTTCATTCAGGGAATGCCTCTGTTTTTTTTAAACACACACACACACACACACACACAGAGAATGTTAAATGCCTGTTTGTCAATTCCTGAATATCCCATACTGTTTTTCAGTATGTTTTGATGTGTGCTAGGGCACTCAGCAGGCAGTAGAAGACGGGTTCTCTCTGGAGTCATGGGTTTGGCGAGGGGGGCAGCATCCTGGTCTCATGAAGTTGTCTTCCCCCTGCAGATGGCCGATGCCATGGAAATGATGATCCTCAGCATCCTGGCACCGCAGCTGCACTGCGAGTGGCGGCTCCCCAGCTGGCAGGTGGCGTTGCTGACCTCGGTAGGCAGCCCAGCAGCTCTGTCCCGCTGTGTATACCCCTGTGCCCTGGCGTGTTCTGCGGGGTGCCCCCTCCTCCTGCTGTTGCCAAGGACTCGGCAGAAAAGAATTAAGCCCTGGATGGAAACACTATGACCCTGTTTGGCTTCCTTTGCTCCCCACCCCACCTCTTACATCCTGGCAGGTTTGCAGCCAAATCCACTCCACCCAGGGGTCCAGCTACCCGGAGGTCCCAGACACCCTCCTCAATTGCTGGGAAGGTGGAACTCTTCCTGGGCATATCACTCTCTGCCTTAAGGCTTGAACCCTGAAGGCCCACTTCTCTTGATGGCATGAAGGAGATGCCAATTCCTCCCATGCTGGGGTGATTTGAAGATTGGAAACAACACAGTGTGTGTGGGATGCATAGTAGATGTTCAATAAATGGTGGAATGCTCCCACTTCCTTGAATTAAGACTTGAAGGAGAGTTAGGCAGAATCCTCAATTTTTATTATTAATTTGTATTAGGGGGAGTTCAGCAGCAACCTTCTAAAAAGGAGGGGAAAAGACAGGCTTGATAAGAGGATAATGATAAGGATATTCACTAAAGTTAATATTTATTGAGCACTTACTGTACAAAAGGCTTTACATATACCATATGCAGTCTATGCATAATATGCATTGTGCTCTTTAATCCTCACAGCCCTATGAGATAGGCAGTATTATTAGATGAGGAAAATGGGGCACAGAGAGGTTAAGTCACTCATGAAAGGTCAAACAGCCTAGCTAGTGTCAGAGTAATTGCTAAGAATGCTTCCCAGAATGCTGTTTCTATGTGGATAACTGATCTGGAATAGTTGGAGTGCCTTCAGCAACATCAGGTCTGATATTAAGTCTGATATTAGCAATAAGGTCATACAGCTCAGTGGGAAGAGTTTCATAAACACCTACACCTAGTGTTTGTGGTTTAGTTACCTCCTAGTTGTGTGACCACAGTGAAGCCCTTTACAGCTGTAATTCACCACCTGCAAAATGGGGGTGATAAAGCCTGTTTCTCTGTGGATGGCAACAAAACACACACAGTGCCTAGCACATGGTAGGGCTTGAGAAATTCCTTCTTACAGTCCGCGTTCTCCCTGATGGGCCCTGAAGAGTAACCAGGGGCCTGTGTTTTTGCAATGCAGGGCCTTTCTGGTCTCTTGCCATTGGTTCATAAGACCCACCATTTATTGAACACTGATTCTGTGCCAGGCTTATACATTCTCTCTTTAACACTCCCAACCCAGTGACAGAGGTGCTACTATCATTCTCAGTCCTACAGATTAGGAAAGCAAAGCTCAGGGAGGTGGGATGGCTTGCCCAAGCTCACACAGCCTATAAGGCAGAGCCAGAGGCAGACGCAGAAGTGAGGTCCGACCTGGCGGCCTCGGAGCCTCTGCTCCCGGCCACTGCCCTGGGCTTCTCGCTTGCGGTACAAAGTTTGGACTCATGGGCTAGATAAAACTGTTAAGTTCCTTGGTCAAGTTTTCAGTGGAAAAGTTGGAACACTGCCAGAGCTGCTTTAGCGGCATGACATACAGAAGGAGGGCGAGATGGACTGTCATCGCCGTCGCGGAAAATACTGCGGGAGATTACTGCCGTGACTCTGGTATAACTGGTACTCTGCTGTAGCTAAATCCCTCCGTTGGGCAACAGAGAATGGGGAAAAGCCATGTTTGGAGCGATCTGTAATCCTCTCAGGAGGCAAGGACATTACTTAGTATCTGACTACAGTAACACCTTATCCCAAGACAGTAATCTTCACAAATCTAGAAAAGAATTGTGTAAAAATTATGCAGTTCTCACAGGCTTTAAAATGGACATTAAATTCTTTTAAATGGTAGGTTGCAGGTTAATTTCCAATGTATTGAAAGATTAGACATTTAAATAAAATTTCATATCCCTTTTTAAAATATGTCTAATGGAATTGAAATACTTACCTGATACCCATCACCCTCTGCTTAAAATAGCATGAATAAGGTGTTCAGAAGAATTTGGAAAATTCGCATTGTCTTGTTTTCTTCTTGAACTGGTACTTCCATTCCATTTCTTCACGTAAGTTATCCGTAATATTTTACTATGTTTGGAAGTATTTCATTTACCACCCTCTCATGATTTTCTGGGACAAAGTATATATAAATTTTAAATGACTGTTTTTAATTTTCAGAGATCGTATGACTATGAAAATTTTTCTCCACTTAATTATCATAATTTTCAGTAATATGCAATAAATTAAAACAGGAAATAATTAATTTTGATAAATAACTGTTAAACTTAAGTAAATTTTTATCTGGAATGTCCCTCCTAATGAGGGGTATGGAGTATTTCCCAATTATGTTATGTATTCTTGGGACAGGATTCAGAGAGTGATTCCACTCCTGTTTTTCATTTTTACTGAATGGATGAGAATATGAAAAGCTTTATTCACATATAATAAAAATTGGGGGTATTGAAAGAGTTTTGCAATCACTCAATAAACTAATGCCACTGTATTATTTCAACAATTTCCAAGTTACATGCCGAAGAGCACAGGGCCATCGCTTATGAAAAATTATTTTTAGTGATCTAATTTGGTGACAGTTTGATTGAGCTCTCCTTCAATTTGGTTAAAAATAATAAAAAGGAATTGGAATTCAGATGACTTGTCAAAGGATTTGTAACTGTGTCACTGATGTCCCTTTGAAGGCTTCCTTCAAGGTCTCGCCTCAACAGGCAGGGCACTGTGAGGTGCACTCCTCAGATGGGGAAGTGAGAAGCAGGGGGAGGTGGTGGCGAAAGTGAGGGAGGGGCAGGGAGCAGGTGAACCCTCTGACCTGTCCTCAGGATAGAGTCTGTGCACAAGTTGAGGATCCGGAAATTAATTCCTTTAAATTTAGCAATGTCTGCTCCTCCCTTAAAATACCTCTGCGAGGCCCCCATTTGTAGCCTGCTACCCTAGGACACCTGCAAGAATGCTTTTGGGGATCAGACCACCCTGGGCAGAGCCTTCCGCTCTCTGGGCCTCAGTTACCTTATCTGCAGAGTGGAAATAATAATAGCACCCATCTGGTAGGGCTGCTGTAAGCATTGCTAAGATGTGTGTATGAAGCATTTAGAGAGTGTCCACCACTTGGTGAATCCCCAGGGAAAAGATAGAGCACGGTGGTAAAGGCTCTGGACAGGCTGCCTGTGTGTAAGACCTGTGCCCTCTCCTCCCTGGGATACTGAGCAGGTTTGTTGAAGGGAAATCCAATCTGGGGAGGTCTCCCTGTGGCTAGGTGAGACCTCAACCCTGGAGAAGAATTCATGAGCATCTTGAGCAGGTGTAAGCGGTTTATTAAAGCAGAAGTACATACTCAAGGAGGGAGCCCAGCATGCTGGAGAGGTGAGCAACCCAGAGGTGTGGTGGTTTAGGGGTTAAAAAGGGTCTTATTAACTATGGGGTGAATATTCATGTATGCAGGGAAGGGCAATTTGCCTAATAGGCTGGGTTGCACAAGCCTAGTAGGGGAAAGAGAAGGTGTTTCTTCTTAAGAGGAAATTGACTGGGTAGGCAGACCATTGAGACTTTATTTTGTATGTCCAGGCCTGCAATCATCCTGTTTTGAACCCTGAGAATCCTGTTACTTTGTATTTTGTAAGCATCCTGTTATCTCATACCTTCTGATTTGAACTCTGTCCCTCTGCTCCCTATTCTAGCCTACCTCAGTTTTCTTAACCCTTCTGTGCCTGAGGCTCCCCATCTGTATGAGTATAAAATTCAACTGCAGTAGTTCTGTTCAAGGATGACTCTACCAGGCACACAGGCATGAACCCATGAGTCCGTAACCTTACCGATAGCACACAGTTCCCATCCCAACCTCCTATCTCCTGTTCTTCATATCTTCTAAACTCTCTCTTGTTGCAATCTTTGATATTTTTCTTAGCAAGAGGGCAAGACATTTCTTTGGTACGGTGAGAAATTCGTGAAATGCTAGCTCTGTCGTCATACTGCCTGATCCCAGCCCAGGCTACGCCAGTTATACCTGTGTGACACTGGCCAAGTGACCCTCCCTCTCTGAGTCTCAGTTTCCTCATCTGTAAGATGGGATAATAATTACAATCACCCTGTAAAATTGTCTTGAGGCTTAAACGGTAACATGAAGCACATAGGATAATATTTGCACCTTAACAGGATCTCAGTAAGTGTTGGTTCTTTGCTATTAGGAGGGTGTGTTGTCACTGGCTCAGTTTGTTGTTCCCTTTCTCTGTGATGCTCTGTGTCACTGTCTAACAGAAGCTGTCTGTGCACCCACAGGTGGTCTTTGTCGGCATGATGTCCAGCTCCACCCTCTGGGGAAACATCTCAGACCAGTATGGCAGGAAAACAGTAAGGCGACCTCCTCTTCTAAGCATGAGCCCTCTGGGTTATCCCCATGATGGTTGACATGTAGCAAGAACCTGTGCTGCTCAAGCACCTGGGAGGCCCAACTAGGAGCTATGTTCAAATGCAATGAGAAGAGATTGCATTGAGGCTGGAGTCTCTTGAAGTCACGTTCCTAGCGGGGCCCCTGCATGTGCACTTCAGAATGTGGGTGATGCTATTGATGCCCACCCTGACCCCCTTGGCACTCACCGTACCCTCGCACGGGACTAAAGACATCAGCTTTCTTGCCCTAAAGTAGATCAGCTGTTGATCCCAGCAGGCTTGAGCTCCGGGGTCCCTGCTCAGGAAGGCACCTGGACTGTCTGCCTTCCCTGTCCCTCCTGGGATCACCCTCGAAATAAACTATTTGTACTAGAATCCTTGTGTCAGGGTCTGCTTTGGGGGAAGCCCAGCCTAAGACATGACGTGAAATAGATTTGCGAGCAAGAAGGAGGACGGGAACTTAGAGGCCTGGAATTGCATGGAGCTCCCAGTGTTTTGTTACTTTATGACTTTGACAGTCCCCTTTGTATTTTATGTTGCTCTGCAACTGGGCTCTTTGGTTCTTTCAGCACGTGGGGCTACAGTTCTCTAAGCTATAAACTAGGGCCTTAGCAGGGGAAAAGATCTCCATAGATCCCGGCAAGCTTTACTTCCTCAGGAAAAGCCGCTGCTTCACCAGAGCACATTCTGAGCTATCACACCCCCTGACTGCTTTATTAGTTCTCCTTGGACTTTCTTCATCAGCCTGCAGTTCCTCCAGAGGCAGGGTGGTGTAGTGTTTATGTGCTTGGGCTTTGAAGTCAGGCGAACCCGGGTGCAGTCCCACCTCTGCCACTCCTGGTTGTCTGAGCACCAATTTCCTCACATATAAAAAGAAGAAAATGACAGGATCTACACTGAAAGGTTGATTAAAGGCCATGGGTAGAAATGGTTTTGTGCAATGCTGGGTATATCATAGGCATGGGGCACATGAGCTGGTGTTGCAATAGAGCATTTCCAGCAAGTTCCCTGCTGGTCCAGGACCACACTTTGAGAACTGTTGGCTTAGAGTAGTAAATATCTACTCCCTGAAGCTGGGAATGGTGCAGATATCTAAACAAACTCAGAATTCAGTCAGGAAGGAAGATACGGGTGCTGAGTAGGTAGTAGGTAAGGAGTACTACAGCCAGCATGTGGGGGACTGAAAATAAAACAGTGCCCTGTAAGGCAGGCAATGTGCCCTCAACCCCCATAACAACCACTGAAGTAGGTACTGTTTTCACTATGATTTTTCAGAAAAGGAAATAGGCACAGAGAGTGGGCAACTTGCCCAAGGCTGCAGTTTGTGTGTCACAGAGCAGGTCTCACTCTAAGTTTAGACCCTAGCCTTAACCATGCTGTGCAGGGCTTGAATCTGTGGGTGCTTAATGAATGTACTTTGGCTCGATGAATGAATTAATGTTTGGACAGTGCTGTACAGGAAGTAGAATCCAGCTGCAGCTCCTCCCCATGTGACTGGACAGGAGACACGTGGGCCAGCAGGCACCTGGGAGATGTTGGCTAATCAAGCTGCCCCAAAGGGGCTGTGGCAGGGCCAGGGGCTGGAGAGGTCAGGTGGGAAGACCTCCTCAGGCCTCCCGAAGAGAACAGGAGCCGGATCACTCTGTCAGGGGCAGCTCTCTAGACTTTGCCCCCCGCCTCCTCTCCGCCCCACTTCCCAGCTGTGGAGGGTGTGATTCGTGGCTCTCATGATGCTTTTTGATTGGAAGGCAGAGCAGAGCCAAAGAGAGGGAACAGAGGTAGGGAGGAAGGGCATGTGGAAAGGGAAGGAAGGAAGGAGGAGAGGAGAGGAGAGGGGAGGGGAGGGGAGGGGAAGGGAGGGGAGGGAAGGAAAGGGAAGGGAAGGGAAGGGAAGGGAAGGGAAGGGAAGGGAAGGGAAGGGAAGGGAGGGAAGGAGAGGCACTTCTTGAAGCAGAGCCATGTGTTTGCCGTGGCTGCAACAGGTCTTTAACTGTAAAACTGTGGCTTTCTGAGGCTGGACTTAACATTAATCTTCCCGCTTTAAAATAATCACAGGAAAAGCTCTTGTAAAGTCTCACCATGGCTTTCTCCTGCACAGACTGGGCGTGGAGGTAGCTGACTCCTTCCTCTGTCTCTGGCTGAAAACATTTTTTATTTACTTGTTCCTATGGCAAACATGCATATGCACAAAAAATGCAGGAAGCCATAATGAGAAATTTTACTGTGCCCCAAATTCTATTAGCCAATTGCTGAGCCATGAAGCCATGAGGAATACAGGGTGATGGAGTAAAAATACCTTAATCTGGGGCATGGATCTGCCATTGGATGGTGAAAACAAATCATTCCACCCCCTTGGGCCTCAGTTTCCTTAACATCAGAGGAGATTGGATTAGATAAAAGTTGATGTTAATTGAGTTAGTATCAACTACCATTGCTACCATTTACTGAATTCCCAGAATTAAGGAGAAAAATGAGCTTTTGCCCCTTGTGTGTATTCTAATCATCAGTAGGGGATGCCAGGCACATGGATTTTAGAAGTCAGAAGGCTCAGGGGGATCAGTGCTGTGATCCATTAGTGATGTCTGCCATGGGCACAGGACAGGCAGGTGGTCGGGAGAGTTTAGTAAACTCCATGAGGAAAGGGGCTGTGCCTGTTTTGCTCACTAATGTGGCTCCCACACCTGACATAGCACCTGCCTTATAGAAGACACTAAATTAATATTTTTTGAGTGACTGAGCTGGATGGATGAAAATCAGATCACCTTTTTTTCTCTTTCTGCCACTCTCTCCTCCCATCTAGACCAGAAAGTAATTTTACTGATGAGTGTTCTTTGTTTACCCAAAAAGCCCGTGGAGTTCATTAGCTTACGATCCTGACTTCCCTTGGAAGAGAATGTTTATTCTGCTACAAACATCTGTCATTCCCGTGGTGTTCCCAGGAGGTAGCACTATGAAATATAGATGTCTCCATGTTTATGATGGGCCTCAGAGGACAAAGCTATATGCTTACATTTTAGAAGGATTCATAGATGAGTTTTCAGTAACACCATTTACTGAGTCTTGTGAATTTTCAATACATTTGACCTTCTAAAACAGTCGTTCTCAGAGAGGTTGTGGGAGGGCAGGCTTTGCCGACTCTCCCCTCCCAGGGGCACTTATTAATGTCAGGAGACATGGTGGTCATAGCTCAAGGGAAGGGAACTCCTGGCATCTAGTGAGTAGAGGTCAGAGATCCTGCTCTTTATCCCAAGGTACACAGGACAGTCCTCACCCCAAAGAATCACCAAGTCCCAGATGTGAATGGTGCCGAGATGAGAACAGGCTCTAGAGTGAGTGGCAAGTTGCAGTATTGTGAAGAGTTATTTCATCAGATGACTGTGTCCCCAGGGACTGCTCCTCTTTCATCTCAGTGTTCACCCGAGGGGCTCATTTGGAACAGTGAAACATTGATATAACATCATTGTGAAAAGCATGGGCTGGGAGGCGAGATTGCTCGGGTACACATTCCAGCAACTCCACTGATAGGCTGCATGACCTCGAGCAAGTTACTCAACCTCTGTGCCTCAGTTTCCTCATCTGTAAGAGGGATAATAATAGTCTCTCCCACAGGGCTGCTGTGAGGAGTAAACAGGCCCTTGCACAGAAAGCTCTTGGCACAGAGGGTTTCATAAATGTCCATTATTATTATTCCTGCCGTTTCTCAAGCTCATGGTGCCAGTAACTAACAATGCCAGTGTTAAAATGCAGGTAGGTCTGGCTGCAGGGTCCACATTCTTCACCGTGGCCTTGGTGGCAGGAGATGTAACTGGATTATTCCCCAGGATTCCATCGATCAGTTGGACATTGATCCATCCCAAACAGATGGAGCCTGGGGGGCTACCTGCAGAGCGCCCCTCCAGCTCTGCTGACCAGCTTGCTGGATTCCACAGCCAACATCAAGCTGGCATGACCAGAGGCAGAGGAGAGAAAGCCCTCCCCAGGTTGCAGGGCCCCGTCCTCCCCTGCATGGAGTTCTGGACCACCCGCAGGAAGGATGGATCAGCCCTAATTATAAAGCTCCCCCAGAACTCTTCCAGGAACAGCGGGCGAGCCGGGCAGCTGGCAAGCTTTGGCAAGCGCTGAGAATCTCCTCTTTCTTAGCTCCTTGATCTTTTTTGGCCCAGCTGGGAGGTTTTTGTGAGGGTGTCCGCTGTGTGACTTTGCAGGGGAATCACACATAAGGTTAGGACTCAGTGGGTTACTTTGATTCCTCCAGAAGTTTCTACACCCTGGGGGCTCATGGGAGCCACAGAAAGGAAGGACACGTGTGTGTGGCCTCGCAGGGATGGAAGTCAACATATCTGGGTTCATATCCCAATGCCGTCCTGTCAAGCAAGGTAACCTCAGGCAAATTGCTTCACCTCCCTGTGCGTCAGTTTCCCCATCTTCAAAATGATATTGACAGGAGTAGTAGCTCAGGGGCTACTAGGAGGATTAAATAAGAAAGTGTTTATAATGCACTTAGAACAGTATTTACTGATGCATTGTTATCTCACAACCAATGTTATCTATTATTAGCTGGACTCAAATTTTTAAAAATTCAGAATATGAATGCTTCATTGTCTAGTTCAAAGCCTCTAAATCCATGTTATATCTAAGGAGGAAAAAGGAAGTGCTGGCAGGCGCTAGGCCTCCATTTCAATATTTTGAAGATCTCTGGGTCTCCTCGCCTGTGAGTATTTTCCTTGTACTTGAGCCTGATTGGAGGATACCAGGGGGGTGTGAGTCAGACAGTCTACCAGGGACGCAAATGCTCATGAACTGATAGTACCATGCTCCTTTTGGGGGTTGCGGGCCTGGCGCCAAAGTGGCAGCCAGACTTTTAGCTTCTTGGAACAGAAGCTCAAAGCCTTTCCAGGCTACAGGTTGCAAACTAGTGATCCATGAGCCAGATATGGCCTGCAGATGTGTTTTATTTATCCCATACAATGTTTCTTAGAGTTTTGAATCAGTTGCCTCTATCTTGAAAATGATGTCTTTTGCATAAAAATAAGTTATAGGTGTTTTTTGAAAATCGGGTTATCTGGCAGCCCAGGATCCATATTCTATGATGGCAACTTTTGGTGAATAGAGGCTGATAAGATGGGGCAAATTCTTTTCCATTCACCCAGGCCCACCTGTCCTTCCTGCATTATGCCTGTGGCTGGGGTAATGGGCAGCCATCTAAGTCCTGGGGGTGGTGGGGAATAGTGGTGCATTCAGAGTTGTAAGTCCCAACTGCATTTTTGACTGCTGGTCCTGGACAAATCACTCAACAGTTTCGGCCCTCACCGTGCTAATTTGTAAAGTGGAAATGAAAATAACATCTTTCTGTTGCTACGAGGATCCAGTGTAATGATGTGACAGCGCTTTAAAAAATACAAACGAAAACTCCATAAAGCCAGAGACTCTGGCTGTCATGTTCCCTGCTATAGTCCAGGACAAAGCCCAGTGCCTAGCAAACAGCAGGCATTCAATACATGCATGGTGAATGGATGGATGAATGAATAATATATGAACGAATGACTGAATAATAACCTTGACTGCCAGGCACACAGCAGGTGCTCAATACATGCATAATAAACAAATGAATGAATGATTCCTACAGAAGGAATCAGTACTTCCAGTGCTAGATACATGTCAGGTACTCACTACATGTGTATTGAATAAATGAATACTATATATCAATATCTCTAGTGTCTGGTGTACAGCGAGCAGTCAATATATGCTTATTGTTGAATGAATAATTGAATGAGCAAATTAATGAATGTATATGCATATATCTATAGAGGCTGGCATTACAGGGGATGCTCAATAAATGAAGATGGAAGGAAGGCAAGAAGGAAGGAGAGAGGGAGGGAGGAGAGAGGGAAAAAGGGGCTAACAATCTAAAAGGCAGGACAGATGTTAGGCAGAATGAGAAGTGTAGTTAATGAGAAGTCGAAAGGCCTGTGAGACATTTCTGCCGTCCCCTAGCAGTGTTTGGATGGGGCTCGCGTGCAGTAGCCATGACAAGCACTTACAAATGATTGCTCAGTTCTCATTTTCTGGGCAGCTAGCTGGAAAGCCCTGACATCAGCGGGCAAAGGCAGAGCCAGCTGCAATCGACTGTGACCCAACAGGACAGGTCCACGTGCCCATCTTTGCTGCTTGGCATGGATCGTGCAGTGACCTCACTGGGCTAACACAGCTCCCTGCAGCCCCTTGAGGGAGGCTTAGCTTCCATGAGCCTTTTCTCTTCCCTCTTCTCTTCTGTTTTCCTTCTTTCCTTTCATCTTCTTTATTGCTAATGATGATCTGTTTCTGATTCAAGACTCCGTGGATTTCAGGGAAGAATATCCCTGTTAAGTTAGCTTAACCCGAAAGGAAGGAATTCAGTATACATGTGGCAGGTACCAATTTCGTAGTCATGGATTTAGGAGTGCAGAAATGCTGCTGTTTTATTATTGCAGTAGATCCAGAGCTTCCTAGACTTTAGTAATTCCTGTTTCACCTATTCTCTTACATACTTGATGTCTTTATATCAATTAAAAAAAAACAAACACCTGAATTGCATGTTTTTGGAAAAGGAAACTTTATAGAGAGTCTTAAATGAGAAATCAGTAGCAATTACCCTTATGAAATGTCTGCAAAAATAAATACAGTGAAAACAAAACAGTGTTACTAAATTCTAGCTGGGTATGGTTAACCCATTGCCCTCTCTGTTAAAAAAAGAGATAGTAGGTGTTTTAAAAGGTTTTAAAGACAGACCAACACTACATGGATACTTTCTCTTGGATACGATCAGAAGAACTGAAGATTGAAATGAAAAAGAAATCACTTTCTTGCAAGGTGATGTACAGTTCTTTAAAATAGTCTCTCTACTACCTAAAATCATTTTCTGAGAGAACTGAAATCATCTGGTAGACCTCCGAATTTTCTCTCTGGTGCCTTTTAATTCATTGTAACCTTAAAGCTAAAATCAGTATGCTTCTCACTTGTCCCCTAAAGTGTCCCCAGTGGGGCAGGAGGGTGAACTCAACCCCAGAGATCTGAGATTGCTGCTAGGGAGAGAGACCTGAGCAGATCTCATGTTGTAATTCTGAAATTCACATAAAACTTGCATTGTGCTCCATAATACATTTGGTGTTAGTTGTGATACAACAACTATGTTTTAAATTACATTCACCTTGAATTTTTTCTCAATCTCTAAGGGTAACTAACAGCTCAGAAATACACAGCATGTCCTACAACACTATGTTGCTGCGTAGTTCTTGACCTTGTCAAACAGTGTCCCCTTAACTTAAAAAAAGCTATAAGATTTTTACTAATGTCTATCCAGAAATAATTTCAAAAATAATATAGTCACATAATTTAAAACTGAAATCATTTATAATGCCCTAATTATGATATGAGGGAGAAAGTTTGAAGGAGAGTAATTCATAAAATAAAATTTATTTTCAATATGCAAATGTTCATGCACAACTCTGTAGATAAGGGGAGGTAGTATATATTTGTTCCTGATTATAAATAAGCTTGTATTTAACTGAATCTTGTGGATTTGACATGATGAAATAAAGTTCAGCTCAGTCTACTCAGAGGCATTCATGGAAGCCCAGTGAACACAGGTGAATACTGAGATGTTCCCTCAGTGACTCATACCATACATAGTGTTGCCATTGACAACAAGGTTTTCTGAAACAATGAATGATTTTGTAAAGTTCCAGATAAAACAAAGCACAGTCTTCCTTTGATTTTACCCACAAGTTACATTCCGAAAAAACTAAGTGTATATTTCAACTATGTCCCCCACCTCCCAAATCCTGTTTATAAGTAAAATAGAGTAAAGGTTGAGGTGCAAATAATCATAAGCAATTTTCAGCTGTATAATGGTTGAGTGGGACGTTTGATTTGAGCTGGTGCAGGACTAAGACAAGTTTTCATTGGGTCTCATGCGCTGTGGAACATCTAACAGCTCTGAGTCATGTCTATTAAATGCCAACCATTGGGACAACCAAGAAAGCCCCACAGTTTTCCCACACACCCTGTAGGCGCTGGCACCACCCACATAGAAAAGTCCTGGCATCCCCTTGGGTTACCTTTCAGCACGATCCTGTTGGTGATTTTAAATGTGCAGGGGCCATGTGACCTGGAGGTGCTGAAAAGCCTGTGTCTCGGTGTCTTCCTTCTCTGCAGGGGCTGAAGATCAGTGTGTTCTGGACTCTGTACTACGGCATCCTCAGTGCTTTTGCGCCCGTGTATAGCTGGATCCTCGTGCTCCGGGGCCTCGTGGGCTTTGGGATCGGAGGGGTGCCCCAGTCGTAAGTAAATACCCCAGCTCTGACCATCCAGCCAGGCAGCCAGGCAGCTGTGTTGATGGCTTAGGAGGGATGCAAAGATGGGCTTCTAGTTTCAAGGAGCTATGATGCAGCCAGAGAATGGCATCATTGTTACTATTGTAATGATTCAGGACAACAAAGCAACAGGATAGCTGGAAGGTCATCAATGGGAAATACTAACAACAATCTTGCATTAATTAGACATTTCTCTCTGCCACACTGCAGCAGCCCCAGGAGGTATGGATTATCCAAGATGGCAATCCCCATTTCACAGTTGAGGAAACAGATTCCGTGGGTGAAGTCACATGCCCAGATCACACAGCGTGGTGGAACTAAACCCGAGTTTGTCTGCCTACAGCAGTTGCACTCTTCTGCCATGCGTGCTCTCACCGCCTTCTAACCTAAGTGCAAGGCAGGAGATGGGGCTAACTGTATGTGAGCTGCGTGCCTTTTGTTACTGTGCGTAAGGTACCGAGAGCCATCAGTTATAGGAAGAAGTCACTCTCTCCTGGGAGACTGGGGAATCCTAAACAGAGATTAGCAGACAATGTCATGTGGGCCAACTCTGATCTGTTGACTGGTTTTATAAATAAAGTTTCATTGGAATGTAGCCACACCCATTCACTTACATATCATCTGGGCCCATTTTCGTACTATAGCAATAGAGCTGAGTAGACTTAGCAGAGACTCTATGGCCTACAAACCCTGAAATATTTACTATCTGGCCCTGTATAGAAAAAGGGTGTAGACCCCATCCTGAAGGATAATAGCCAATATTTAGTGTTTACTAAGAGGCAGGTGCTGTTCTGAACAGTTTACCAGATTATCTAATTTAACACCCAAATTTTCCCTATGAGGTAAATTCTGTTATTCACCCCATTTTACAAACAAAGAGACGAGACTGAGGCACAGAGAGGAAACTGACGTGCCCCAAGTGTCACAGCTAGGAGGCAGAGCGGGGACCTGAACCCAGGCGCAATCGCACGTCGATGGGTCAAATACTTGAAAGCCCTCAGATCACTGTGCTGGCTGGGGTCCTGTGGGCAGGAAGCACAAGCCAGTACCCAGGGTTTGTGCCGGTTCTGGGAAAGAAGAATCACTTCTCCTTGCAAAATGGAAGACGCCCAGCGTGAATGAGTTGCCACCAGGTAACACGGACGGTTCTGTCCTGCGGGCTCCGTTGTGGTCTCTGCAGCTGGCAGAGACTGGGTTTGGTGGGTGAGGATCAGGGCTCTGTACCACTGCCGTCCTTGCCCTCAGAGAGTTCACAGTTCTGTAACTGGCTCCTGGAGCCTGCTGAGCGTCAGGATGGGGAGACTGGGAGAAGTGGCCAAGAGGGTAATGGTAATGCTGAAGTCATGTGGCCAGACCGTGGGCTCTGAAACCAGATCCCCCAGGCTCGGATCCTGACTCTGTCACTTAATGCCTGTGTGTCCTTAGGCAAGTTGCTTACCCTTTCTATGCTTCCGTTTCTTTCGTTTCTAAAGTGTGCACTATAACCTACCTGCCTCATGGGGTCACTTAGAATATTAAGTGACAGGACATGTGAAGTGCCCAGGACAATCAATGTGAGCATGTGTTTGGTCTGCTGAAGGCTCTGGTGAGAAGCTCAGATTGTCAGTGTGACAGATGATGGACTGGGTGTGTAACTGTGGGAAGAATGAATGGGGAGAGGGAAGGTGTGACTACAAGGATTTAGCACAGGAACCAATCCCCGGACTCTTTCTGCCACTTAGAAGCTGGAAGGACAGTGAATGACTCCATTATCCTCAGCCCTCCCTCCCTTATTCATTATCGATCCTTCCAGGGCTCTGCAGACTAGGCATGAGACATACACTCCTGGGCCTGGATGGCCTTAAAAACTACTGGAGCTTGAAGAAGAGGCCATTAGGCCAAACCCATAAATCTGGGCTGGCAGGGGCTTGTGGCCAGCGAGCTCCACGTCTGGCCCAACTCCAGAAGTTCCTGCAGACACAGCCACTGGTCCATTCATGAGCCATTCACGGATGAGGGGACAGCTTTGCCCTAGTGTCTGGAGGGAAGGCACTCAAAGGAATACACAGCAAATTCCTTTGCTGGGATGTTCGCATAGACAGGGGAACCGACCTCCAAACCCCGCTTTGATCTTCACCCCAAGGAGCGAAGAGAAAGGAACTGAATACCGAGAAGGCCCGCAGTGATTCAGAATGTCTGGAATGGTGTGATGAGAAGCACTCGTTTCTACTTCCTTTTCCCCCACATTTTTTGAAAATGACTTGAAAGGTGTAAGCAATAGAATAGATCTTTAACAGAGCTGGACAGCAAGGAGCGGGTGCCCCGAGCAGACTAGTTTTGAGGAACCTGTGGAAGGTTGTAAGTAGATGGGATTCCAGTGGCAGAATAACTAGAGAGAAAAACCACCTCCTGAAACTGCTAAGGGGGGCGATCTTCAGGGAGAGAGGACAAGACACTGCACCATAAAATAAAGGACACAGAGCTTCCAGGAAGGTCACTGAACATGTCTTGTGCAGTATTCTGAGTGACCCTATAAGGTATGTATGTTTTTATCCGCATTTTAGAGATGAAGAAACTGAGGTGTAGAAAGGTTTAGTGACCCTTCAAATGTATTCTCTCACTTCATGTCTAAGGGTCCCCAGCTTGCCTACCTGTTCCCACTCCCACACCCCATGTCACACTTCCTCATGCAGTTGTTCATCTATTTAACATACTACAGCCCTTCTGTTTATTGAGTGATTACTACATCCCAGGCACTGGATCATGTGCTTTCTACACATGGCCATTTAAGAACTCATAAAACCTTAAGACATAGGTATTATTATCTCCATTTTTGCAGATAAGAAACCTGGGGCTTTAAAGAAGTAACATACCCAAGATCACCCAGCTAATAAATGGCAGAGCTCTGATTTAAACATCGCTTGACCCTCCAAAGGTATTCTCTTAACTACTCCACTCCATAGCCATTTTGTCCATGAGGACAGCAAATACAAACCGCAGACAAAATTATGGGAGAAGTATTTAGCCACCCAAGAGAGCCCCTGGCTTCCCAGAATTTTCACCCCAGCCATTTACATACAAATAATCACATCTTAATTATGAAGTGTTCTTATCTAGTTATAAAAATGGTCCCCTTATGTTCATTATTTGGAAACATTTAGTTGAAGATATTTTTCTGTAATTAAATGTCACTGAGAGTTACCATTCATTTAGGCTTTGTATCACCTCACAAAACCAAATGAATAAAACTTTGCTGTATCCTTTTTAAAAGCTCAACAGCCAGAAATATTTAGAAGGTACTCTGAATGTTTAATATAAATACAAATTACATTACTTTTTTAATTAAAATAATTAAAAAGTGTTTTTCAGTTTTATTGAAATATAATTGACATATAGTTGACTACAAATATAATTCACTGTAGACATTTAAGGTATACAGCATAATGACTTAAGCATCTTGCAAAATGATTACCTCAGTAAGTTTAGTCAACATCCAGCATCTCATCACAAGTTACATTATTAATAAGAAGTGCATCCCTCTGCCCTGATCTGTGCCTTTCTAGGTGCCTCTTTCTCTCCCTCTCCTTCTTCTTTCCCCCAAAACAGTTGTTCACATTGGTTCTTGGTAATTGCAACAATGATAATAACATTAATGGTGATGCTGATAATAATAATGTCAAATGAGCGCTTACCAAGTGCTTGGCACTATGCTAAGTGCTCTCTGCATGCTGCCTCATTTTGCCCATCAACAATCCTATTATCCCCATTTTACAGATGAGAAAACTGAGGCTCAAAGCTTGCAAGTGACTTGCTTATGGTCAGATGGTAATTAAATGGAGTGTAGAGTTATCTTTTGCTTTGTGACAAACCACCCAACAGTTCTGGCTTAAAACAACAATGACTTATTTAACTCAGTTTTGCAGTTCGGCAATTTGGTTGTTTTGGTCAGAGTGGGGTTTACTTTCGTGTCTTCAGTCAACTGTGAATCGGTTGGGGCTGGCTAGGCATGGCCCCAGCCGACTCATCTGTGCGCCACAAGCCTTTCATCCTCCAGCTGGCTAGCCCAGGCATCTAGTTGCATGGCGCCTGGGCAGGGGTCCAGGAGAGCAAGCAGGAGCCATAAAGCCTCTTGAGGCCGAAGGCTAGAACTGGCACAATATCACTTCTGCAACATTCTGTTGATCAAAAGCAAGCACAAGGCCCAAAATCAAGGGATGGGAAAATAGACTCTGAATTCAGTGAGCTACAAAGTCACAGTGCATGGGAGCATAGATACTGTCTTGCCAATGGGTTTCAGCCCTGGGCAAGTTCACTATGGATTCAGTGTGACCAAAGAAATCTACAGCAAAACGTTCTTGGGGTGAAAGGGTTATACCCAACTTTATTTATAGGTGGCAGGTCAGTCACTAAAATCCTGTTCACTCAGAGCAAGTCTGCATGCAGCAAGCCTCTGGGCCCCTCTATCTGCAGGTCAGTCACTGGGCATGCAGGTCAGTCACTGCATGCAGCAAGCCTCTGGGCCCCTCTATCTGCACAGCCGTCCCACACAGACGTCCTCTGGGCCTCTGTCCTCAGCGCTGCCACCACCCCAGCCTCTGCTCTGCTCTCCTGCGGCCTTGCGGCCCTGCCACCATGACATGCCCAGAGCACTGGGCGGAGCTCTTTTTATAGAGTCACATTGCCCACAGGTGTGCAGTGAGCTAGTCAACCAGGGCCAGGTGAGAATCCTGGCCACAGGAACTCATTTTATCCACAGATACAAAGAGGGAAAATAGGGGGGCAACTTTTGCAAACCATCCACTGCACGCAGACTAGGTTCAAATCCAGGTCTGTCTAGAGCCAGAGCTTTTACATTTGAACAAATACTGTGAAAGGGTTCTGAGCTTGTATAGTCAGAAGGTCCTGGTAAGTCCTGAATGTCTGCTGGGTTCCTGGTACTGATTTGAAGGTAATACTGGGAATGCAGAACTGGTGGTTCTGAGCAGGTTCTATTGCCTTTAATTAAGACAGCAAAAAGGAATCACTTTTAGGATGCTGAGTAATTACATTTTCTGTCCATGGAGAAGTATAAAGACAGTAATCCAAGCAAGGGAGTTACACATAACTATATTTTTATCATAAAAGCAACGAATACATTTTTGCTTTAGAAAATTTAGAAAATGCAAATAAGCACTAAAAAGTAATCATCATCTTTTATTGCATGTAACGCCTACCAAAATGTACAAGATACAGATCGGCACCAGGGCCGATCCATTATTATTTCCAGTAGAGGGTGCTGTGAACTTCCTCAGAAACACCACTGTGGATCAAGGGAAGGTTCCTATGGTCCGGATTCTCACCTGGCCCTGGTCGGCTAGCTCACTACACAAGTGTGGGTAATTAAGTCGCTATTGACTCTATATAAAGAGCTCCGCCCAGTACTCTGGGCAACACAGTGCCGTGGCCACACGGCTGCATGGCTGCAGGAGAGCAGACACTGGAGAGCTGGCAGCGCCGAGGACAGAGACTGAGACAGCTGCGGGGGTAGAGAGGCCCAGAGGCAGAGACTGACTTGCTGCACGCAGACTCGCTCTGAGTGGACGGGATTCTAGTGCTTGACCTATTGCCAGGAGAAAAAGCCAGGTAATAACCCCTTTCATCATAAGAGCGCTCCATTCCTCGGTCTCACTGAATCCATAGTGAACTTGCCCGGGGCTGAAACTCGTTGGCAGACTGCCGCTTACCTAAGAATCTGAGATACAAGGCTGTGGTCACTTGCACACTGCTTGTGTTTTAGCCACTCTTAAAGATTATTATCCCAGGTAGCTGCCCACCTGTTCTACCTTGAAACCAGCCTCCAAAGATTCTTCAGATTGGGCTCTAGGATGCGTTTGCTCACAAACCTGTCCTTGGCTCTACTCTTTCCCCCAAAGACCAAGCAGAAATGCTAACTGGAGATCACAGGTCATTTCTTCCCAAGCATGTGATCCAAATGGCAAATTTCTAATTGCCAAGTGCTGTCAATGCAATTATTTGCAGTAGCAATTTATGTATGCCAGTATTGGCTGCTGCCTGCATTGCTAATTTCATTGCTCAGTCTTTTATTCTTTGGTGTGATTGTAATAACCACCATAGTTTGGATGAAGATCAAACAGCTACTTTTCATCATGAGTTGCTATAAATAATGGCCAAATGTGGGGCACAATTACAGGAAAAGGTGTTCCTTGAGGCACAGGTTGCAAAAACAAGAAATTGAAAACAATCGAAGTCTTAATCAAAAGGGTTACAGCTGTTAAAAAATAGCGCAGTAGGTCTATGTATGTCAACATGGGGAGATTTCCAGGCTGTCTTATCAGAAGCGGATCCTGACACAGATGCAAGAGCAGGTAGTTTACTCTGGCAGACTCTGCAGCAGCCATCTCCAAATTGTGCAGTTAGAGGGACAAGGGAACTGCCATTTGTTGAGAGCTGCTCCTGGGAAATTTAAATTCCTTGGCACTTCTGGTCGGCCACACAGGTTGGCAAAGCAAGTTTCAGGAACCCGAGAGAGCGTTCAGGGAAGAGTGTCAGGTGCTGGCAATTGGACGTTGGGCTGGCAAGCTCGGAAGTGGTGAGATTCGGGGCACTATGTATGGGTGGAGCAGCGAGAGTGTGCTGCGTATGTTAAGAAAAGGAAGGAAAAGGGAAGGGAAGAGAAAAGAAAGGTATCATGTTGCTTACATTTATCTATTTCCACAGAGAAGGGGTTGGAAGGCAGCAACACCAACTCATAGATAGGGATTTGGGGGAAGGGACTGGAAGTAGGAGTAATGGGAAAGAGGAAGAATTATCATATACTGTGTGGCTGCAAACTGTAAGTTGCTTTACAATGAGAAAGCATTCATGTACTACTTCTGTAACAAGAAAAGGAGACTTCTTGCTATAGGTTCATTATAAAAATAAATCTTTGATAGCTAAGGATAGGAATAGCTTTGCCCTTAGATGTTTCTGTACATTTTTGCATGGTTAGTAGTTTGACTTGAATTTGGTGGGGGAAAGGTAAACATACTTCTCATTCTATTACTTTTTATTTTTAAATATAATATAAGTACAGCACTTGGAGAATAGAATAAAATTTCAAAGAAGCCATCATAATAATCAGTGATCTTCTGCAATCACTGTCATCTTGGTCTCCATTCTCAGAGCTGAGTTAATGAAATTGCTGATGGTTTTTGTTGATAGAGGTGCTTGTAGGAATGTTAAGTTGGATCAACATTTTTGGGAACCAATTTGATATGTATCAAAACTCTTAAAAATATGCATGCCCTTTTGACTTCAAATTCTACTTACAGGAATCTATCCTTAGGAAACCACGTGAAGACAAAGATTCCAGCCTAAAGGTGTTTATTGAAGTATTGTTTATAATTGTGAAACCATCTACCCAGGAAAGTGATTGATGAGCTGCATAATATAGACACACCTGGGTTGAAATTCTGGCCCTTCTACTTACTTACTAGCTGTGTGATCCTGGTCAACTAATAACTTAAATAGATAAATATAAATATGAAAATGGGGATTAAAGATGCAGGGTGGGAATTATAGTCACCTACCCTGTTGACTTGCAATGTCTGTACATTTACTGAGTGAAATAATCCATGTAAAACATCTATGAGTGTTTGGCACATAGCAGGTCCTCAGTAAAAGATAGTTATTATTAAGAAAGTATGATTCATGCATATGATGAAATATATGTTTGTAAAAGGATTGGAAATGGCACAGAAATAACAGTCTAGGCTTGCCCTGAAGAAAAGGGGTGTAACTCCCAGGTACATCTGTGTGAGGCAATACTAAGAAGGTTGCAGGTATGAGCCATTAGCAGCAGGAACTGGGAAGTGGGCACACGGATCTAGTAAAGGGATCCCAGGAGATCTAGATGGGTCACCAGCACCATCTGCCTCAAAAGGGTTAATTAGCTTCCCTCTACCCACCTCCCTTCTGAGGAGCCAGGAGTAACATGAAGCCATGTAGTAGCTTGGCTGCTTGGCTTAGGTGAGAGAAAGAGGCCTTTCCTTCCTAGCAAAATGGAAGGAAGCATGAGAGTGTAGCTTAGAACTTTCCTCCTCTTAGCATGTCCAGGTGTGTGAGGAGGGGCAAGGGAGGGGAGGGAGTGTGGACGTAGCAGATGGAGAAGGCAGCCGGTGCATTTAAGATGTTGATTACATTCAGCAAATGAGTAACCTGAGCACATAAGAAACACATTGAGGATAATGAGACCCAGGTTTCTCAATGTTGGAAAAGGGAAGTACAAGCATGGAAACTGGGAAGGTTGGAAAGAACTTTAACTGTCTGGTTGGACTGGAATTTAAATTATCCACATGAACGCATTGTTTTTTTAAATACTTATGTATAGATAGATATAGAAACAGTTATAGATGTATGGTGTGCATGTAGAAAGAGAAATGGAAAGACAGAGATGCATAGACATAAATCTCTTAGCTTTGTCCACTAAGAGGGCCGAGAAGCATTGACATCCCTGTAGCAATGAGCACACTGAGCATTCAGATCTTGGTTTCTAAATACTGTCCTCTCACAAAAGGAGCCAGGACTTCTTAGAAAAAAGCCAACTCCATGGCTGGAGCAAGGAAAATACAAGATGATTCTGGACATCTTGCTGTGCCAGAAAATAAGAGCTCAAGGAATGATGGGGATATGTTAAAAAAAAACATAGGAATAAGCTTATAAGGTCTCCTACAGGCCAGAATGGGACAGTCTGACCATCAAAAGAGTAAATGGTAGTACTGGGTTACAACCCATTGAATAAAATAGGACTCCATAAGCCCATACTGATTAAATGAATAAATAAGTAAATGATTGATAGATAGATAGATAAAAGGGAGACAGGAAAGCTCTTCCTTAAAGTAGAATATCAATTATAAATATGGAAAGAATGATGGAAATAGAAAATGCCATTTGTTACCATCAGAGTCATGGTTGATTCAGGCAGAAATAGTCAATGAATGGGCTGTTAAGTCTGGTGGGTAGAGGTCAATGGAGAACAGAACATTGATGTAATCTCTAAATTTTTCCCTACAAAGTACTTATTAATCACAAAGAGAAAAAATGATAACTTTAGGGTAGAGAAATCTGTCAGACACCAATCTGGTCCAGTGATGGTTAATGACGGATTGACACCAGGAGCTCCTGATAGGAAGCACGGGGAAGACTTCTGCATTATTTCTGTGGGGTTCCTGCCCAGAAAACATGGCCTGAGTCTGGCCACAAGGAGACATCAGATAGACTCAGAATGTGAGGCCACGTTCAGAACGACAGGTCTATGCTCTTTAAGATCATTCAAGACAGAAGCATCAGGGAGAGCCTGAGAATTGTTCTGGACGGAAGTCCTCATCATCCCGTCACCCTTCTCCCCCTAGATCTACTGGGTTGTGAGTAGTTCTCAATGACAGGAATTATTAAGTTTGAGAATCGCGTGAGGAGTTAATTAAAAATGAAGATGCCATGGCCCCCCTCCTGAAAGCCTGTTTCTGAAGGTCTGGGTCGGGGCCTGGGGATCTACGCATTTAGCCATCATTCCAGGAAAGTCTGATGTAAGTGCTTCCCAGACCACCCTTGGAGGGATGCTGGCCTAGAAACTCAGAAAACTGTATCAATCTTCCCACTCAGGCGTGACCGTAACTCCTTTTCTGTCTCTTTGCTTTCCCAGGGTGACACTGTATGCTGAGTTCCTGCCTATGAAAGCCAGAGCTAAGTGTATTTTGTTGATTGAGGTAAGGAGGGTGGTCTGGGTTTCTAGGGAGCGCTCACTTTCTGAGTAGGAGGTTGTCAGGCATCTTGAGCCACAGGACAAGGAACAGCGAGTTTAAGAAAAACACCAGACTCAGTGTGCAAAGGCTTAAGAGGATCAGTGATCTCAATGCCAACACGGTTGTTTTGCAATACGGATAAATTCTTCAATGGACAAGAAAATTCTGTCTACTAATCTTTATAAAAAATGGTGACAGGCAGGTGGTTTATCTGCCTCTGCTGGACACTGATGTCCCCCAGGATGGCTCTGATGCCGCTCTGACCTTCCTAGTTACCATGGCCACACTGACTCCACAGCCCAACTTAAACCCTCCCAACCGCGTCCACCCCTGCCCAGTCAGGATGGTAGTCAGCTGGTTCACACTGGTACGGATGAACCAGTTGTTTAGATATTGAAATGTGTCTGCGCCAGCTGATCCTGAACCCTGACTGCCTCTCATTGCCTGACACCCCATCCCCTCTAGAACTGCTGGAACTCCCCATAATCCAGCAACTAAAGAATTAACCCTGGTTAACCACCCCTGGGTATCAGCGACAGAAATAGACTGTGGTTAATTTAAGCAAAAGAGAATTCAGATGGGTTCTTGGGGACTCCCAACACCGATGGGGAAGCTGAAAGACCCTGATTTGGAGTGAACTGTAGTTTTAGAGTCAGGGTCCCGGTAGGAGGCAGCATGTTTAAATTAGGATAATTTGAAGAAGGTTTAATAAAGGGACTATTTATGAAGTCCCTGTAGGGGTATTACCACCCCAGGTAAAGGGGCAAAGGGTGGAATTATTAGCAGCCCAGAGAGTCATATGGCAAGGGCTGGTGGACAGGCGCGGTGACTTTCAGCTAGGGATGCACCCAGCCCATGGCCATCCTGGTGAGAAGAAGCCAGGGGAATAAATGCCCAATCTCTCCTTCCTCCCATTTCCCATGGGGCTCTCTACTGGCTGCCCAGAGTGGACTGCCAGGATACAGGGAGGCCTTTGGATGCAGTCCACACAAAGAACAAGGTGGAGAAGGATGGGGCAACTTAGAGAGGCAGTCAGAAGATATTCAGCCCCACAGGGTAGACACAATTCCAATAAAGGATGCTAGGGCACTACTGGGCAAGGGAAATGGATACAGTAGATGAAAACCGTTGTTGATCTCATACAACATTGATGATATTGGTCACTGTAACCAGAGCTGCCATACTGCACACTCTGGTGGGTGCCATGCAAATTTAATACAGTTTGGCTGACACCCTGGGGAGATGGACAACGTGGCGGCCCTGGTCCAGCCATATGGCCCACAGGAAAAGTGACCTTGCTGATCCCCAAGGACCCCTTACCCATATCGATAGTCTTTTGTCTGTAATGACCCTGAAATTGCTCTCGGTGTTGGCCATGCTTCCCCCATCACTGAACCCCATTCTCCTGTGCCAGGTCTTCTGGGCCATCGGGACAGTCTTCGAGGTCGTCCTGGCTGTGTTTGTGATGCCCTCGCTGGGCTGGCGTTGGCTGCTCATCCTTTCGGCTGTCCCGCTCCTGCTGTTTGCTGTCCTGTGTTTTGTAGGTATCCTGTAAGAGAGCTCAGCCTTTGCTACTTGGCCTCCTACTGCTGGTGACTAGATTTTGGTGGAGAGAGGGTGGAGGAGGGTCCCAAACCCAACTTTTAAGATTATTTTTGAAAATCAGGAAGGGAGACAGGGAAGAGGGCCTACCCAACACGGAGTGTTGGATTTCCCCCAGACACACACTGCTGGGAGGTTCTTTAGGGAGACAGCAGAGGATGAAGGGATACCTTGGCCCCACTACTACAAGACCCTTAAGGTGACTGTACTGGAATGGTTGATATTCTTAAGTTGTAAGAGACAGAAACCCAAATCAAACTGACGGGAGGAAAAGAGAGGATTAAATATCTGGCTTCAGGCATGGCTGTGTCCAGAGGCTCAAATTATCTCTCCATCTGAGTTCTGCATAAACCACACCCCCCAGCAAGATCACACCACGCTTACTTCATCTGTAGACCACAAACAGAACATGTTACAGCCAGTGGGCCCCAAAATAAGCCTGTAGGTGGATAGGTCCCATTTATGGTAAATAATGTAATTCCTGGTAATGACAATAGGTATTAATAATTGCTGAGCATAACTGTGGAGTAGGCTCTGTGGTAGGTTCTTTGCCTATATTATCATATTTATTTCTTCCAATAACCATATGAGATAGGACTAGATGAACCCCTATATTAGTTAGGATGACAGCAGTTGCTGCAACAAGTAAAGGAAAGCACACTTTCAGTAATTTAACACGATAGGAGTTTATTTCTCATTCACGTGACAATCCAGAATGGGTGTTCTTGTTTGGCAAGTAAGAGTCCAGACCCAGGTTCCTTCCAGCTGATAGCTCTGCATCCTCTAGGGCTTTTGGACTTTTCTACATACACACTGGGGAAGCAGGTGGAGATGCCGACTCACTTACATAACTTGGCCAGAAATATTCTGCTCATCTCCCATTGGTGGAAGCTTGCCTCATGGCCTCACCTAGAGGCACGAGAGGCTGGGAAATGTAGTTCCTGGCCAGGCAGCCATATCCAAGGACAGCTCTAGGCTATGGAAAGAGAAGCACAGATTTCGATGGCATTAGCAATCTCTGCCGCATTCTCATTCTATTAATGAGGAGATTGAGACCCAGAGAGGCTGGATGACAGGTCAAAGGGCATGCAGCAAATAAACAACAGAACCAGATCTTCTAACTCCAGCTCTCATGTTCTCTCATTTCACAGATTGCTATTGCTTCTGTTTCACAGAAATGTATTTATATAGTCACTTGGGATTGGAACTTTATTAGGCCTAAAGATCTTCCTGTTTTTTTTTTCTGTCATTTAGACTGAGTTTGCAAGGTGATGCTGAACACTGGTGAGGTGTAGTTTCTTGAGAGATGGGGAAAAGATTTCTGATGATGGTGAGAGTGGCAGTTTTTGTGTGTGTTTTTCTTTGTAGCAGTCTTTAATTTCATTCAGACTTCACCTGGAACTCTGACAACAGCACCAAATAATAGTAACAGCAATGGCAACAATAAGTACATTAACCTATTCCAGGCACTCTGCTAAGTACTTTGTCTAGAAGATCCCGTTGAATCCTCTCAACAATCTTAAGAGGTAGGATCTATTATTGTCCCTATTTTGTGGATGAAGAAATAGAGGCACAGAGAGGTCAGGTAACTGCTCAAGGTCAACAACCAGTACAGTCAATGGCAGAGCAGGGATTTGAAGCCAGGACTTGGCTCCAGAACCCTCACTTAAAGGGTGCACACACAGATGGGAGTGGGGGGCTGTGCCCCCATGTTCTGTTCCACCCTAACTGGCCATGCCTGGTCCCTTGTACCCACAGTGGCTGCCAGAGAGTGCAAGGTATGATGTGCTCTCTGGGAACCAGGAAAAGGCCATTGCCACCTTAAAGAGGATAGCGACAGAAAACGGAGCCCCCATGCCACTGGGGAAACTCATCATCTCCAGACAGGTCAGTGCCTGGCCAGCTGACTGCAGCATGCACGTCCGCGAGCATGTATATGTGGGTGGGCCTGCGTGCGTGTCTGCGTGGTTGTGGGTGTACATGGAGTGGGTGGTGGTGCAGTCGCCCTGCAAGGGGAATCTGGCAACTCCAGTCTGTTGTGTTTTCACTGCCAAGTCCTAAAAGTGCCACCTAGAGAATTTAGCAAGAAATGTCATGTGGCGCCCACTAATGGATCCGGTAGCTGCTCCTGCCTGCTTCAGACCCACCTTTCAGCACGGATGAAGTCTGATTAGCAAATGTGATCAATTGATAAAGGCTGGACAATAAAACCACATTAGAAAGTGCTGTGATAGGCTTAGATCTAGGGGACCAAACCATACCTGTGTAGACGTCCTTAATGGATGGTGTCTCAGTCCCCCAGCCACACTGTCAAAGAATCCACCACAGTGAAAATTTATAAGCACCCACCACATGCACAGGCATGCTGCGCACACGGAGAGAAGGGACCCTGCTTAAAGGCTATATAGTCCCTGCCCTCATCTTGAGTGCCTTGGAGAACATGATAAATACCTTAAGCAAACAACAGACTTTACAAGGCAATTATCTTTTAAAATCAAGTTACATTTGATTGTTTCTATATTATGTAAAAAAGAACTGAATGGAATTTCACCTGATTGAGAGAGGTCTTGGGCACAGTCTGAGAACGGAGGCCTGGAGACATGCCCAAATAACCCTCGGGACTGCAGGGGTGGGTGGGGGTCATCTCAAAGAGCCCAGAGGGCAGGAGGCCTTTGAGGGAGACTCATGTGCCTCCCATCCTCACTGCATGGTCGTGTGGAGACGCTCTGGCTGGAGAGAGTACACAGTGGGTTCCCAAAGAGAAAGTGACGAGGCTGGCTCCAGCTGGGGGCTTCCCTTGGAAGGCAGCTGTCACCCCTGGGGCATCTGTGTGCTCCCCAGTACCCAGTGGCAGGAGTCCATCTTTTTTGATGGAGGTCACTGGGGCGGGTACTTAGCAGGTGCAGCCCCAGGGATCTTGAGGCCCATGGAGAGAGAGCTCACTTCCCCTGTGATCTTCCAGGAAGGTACCAACGGGGTGGTGAATCCCCAGACAAGTAAAAAGAGGAGAGAAGGGCTTTCCAGAAGCAGACCGATTCTCTAATAGCCAGTTTTCCTGAATTAACTTGCTGATATATCAATTTACCAAAATACAGTTTTCCTATTATATTAATACATCTATTCCTCAATATACTCTTTATAAATATATTAATGAACTATTCAAAAATATATTCAATAAATAGAGAATTTCTCGAATATATTCAGTAAACATTTAATGCATATTGTGTTTTTATTCAAGAATACAGTATAAAAATATTTCTACTCAGGAAGATAACATCCATAGGTAGACTAAACCACCAATAACCTGTAGCCTTTTAAAAACACTTCTAGCGTGTCTACATAAGTGAGCATTTCTCAAACTGCTACTAAGAAAAATATGTTCATTAAATATGTCTGAGAAAGATATAATCACAGTCACAGAATACATATTTTTAAGAGAACATTGTAAAGCAAAAGGTTGATAAATTCACTAGAATTTATCATATGAATTTGGCCAATTGGTCATTTAACGAATTGGCTTTTGGTGAATTGATTTCAGCACATTAATTTTTGTCTCTTTGACGTAGAGCCAGCTTTGAGGGGAGCGTGAAATGGTTGGACACCCTTTGGACTGGTTTTCTGCTCTCTAGGTCCATGGGACACCCCTAGAGGCCTTGGAAGGTGGCCAAGCCTGAGGGGGTCTGCTTCCCAGCCCCCGCATTCCAGGTCAGGGGTGGGGGTGGGGAAGATGATGAGCATCTCCATCCGTAGGGAATCAAGTCTCTGCGCATTGCTGGGTCCTGGCAAGAGAGGCTCAATCGGCCTCCCTGAGGGTTTGAGTCCTGGGGTCTTGGATCCTGAGTGTCCAGCCCACCAGAAACCTCCCTTCCAGCCTCCCAGTCATGGGTGTTCACCAGTGTCGGGCTACCAGCCGGTGGCCGCACATCTGGAGGGGAGGAGAGTAAATGGCATGTCCTTGTCTTGAAACAGGAAGACCGAGGCAGAATGAGGGACCTTTTCACACCCCATTTTAGATGGACAACCTTGTTGCTGTGGTTTATATGGTAAGCGCTGTTTCCTGATGTTTGATCCCCTTCGTCGGTGCCCTGTTTGCGGATTTGTTTTAGTGCAGTGCACAGAGAACTCTGATCTAGAGCATCATTTACAAAGTTCACTAGCTTGAGCATCATTTTCCTGATTTCTGCCTTATCTAGGTATCACCTGTACTATTATTTTCTTAGTCCTGTTCTTGCATTTGACTCACTTTTTACTCAGATAAATGTCTTTTAAAAGGAAACTTTATATGTATGCTTTAAAAGAGAAAACCTTAATTGCAGGCCAGAAATAGAAGTCACTCAAAGATAAATACAGTCAAAAGCTAGACTGATGGTTTGCCAAGGCTCTGGAGCCTCTGTATTTAAGAGACAGAGAGGGGAGGTGTTAAGGACTCATTAGCACATGAGTGAGACTAGGATATGATCACAATCATGGAAAGGAAGATTAAAGGGGAATTTTTTTTCACAGTGAGATTTATTATTTATGGTATATCAGTTCCCCTCTCCTCTCGCATTGTCTTGGGGACCCCCAGTGGTATAGACCTATATTTTGGGGACCCCTGATTTGGTCAATATGTAATCCTTAGAACTTTCTGTCCCAGTCTTTCTCTACTTTTCTTAAATAACAACCACCGGCAGTGGCTGGAGGTTGGGGGTGGAGGGTGCATTTGTGGAGAGTAATTACCTTAAATTCCACAACTGGTCAAATTTCAGCTCTTCTTTGAACTCCGCTGGCTGAGTCTGTGTTCTGTTTTAACCAGTTCTCCCTTCGCTTTTTCATCTTTGAGCAGAGGTGCTAGTTAGCAGGGAGTGTCTGAAAGTGGTCAATTTTAGGGGGTGGGGGGAACCTTTGATAATATTCAGAACTGGGATCAGGCTCTACCCCACCCCTGCATTCCTGAGAGCTGAATCAACTCACCAAGCCTTTATTAAACACCTGCTGTGTACCCAGTACAAGTGCGAAGTCTGCAGGATTTTTCCAACAGGAGTTGGGGACGGGGAGACAGAGTTGAGGGTATCTATCTTTGAGTGCTTGTGGTTCTGTTGAGTCACCATTGCTTGCTTGCTTGCATACTGAGGCAAGGAAAGACTTCATTTTTTCACACTATGGAAATCACAAAATTTGCTAGCACACATTGGAACCCAAGGAAATCAGTCATCGATGTCTGATTATGACCGAGTTCCCACATAACTGTACTGCAGGATGTGAACGCTCTGACCCTGGGGACTTGAGTTGTGTGGTTCCTGGGACAGTGGGGAATTAATTAGCTGTGTCAATCTGATGTGGAATTCTAGTGAAGTCTGCAGACTCCACACTTGTACTGGGCACACGGCAGGTGTCTAATAAAGGCTCGGTGAGTTGATTCAGCTCTCAGGAATGGGGGGCGGTGGGGGGCAGGTAGGGCTGGAGCCCAGTTCTCTATATTACCAACGCTTTTCCCTCCTCTTCCTATCCAAGTTGGCCAACTTGACTCAGAAGCCCTAACAGATGTCAACAATGATGGTTTTCTTCCAAATTGTGGTGCCCCAAACCTTTTGAGTAAAGAGCCTTGCGGGTGGCATGTCTGTGATATAATACAGTTCTTGGTTTTTCAGAGGACGAAGATCACATCCCTTTATCACCTCATTGTGCTTTGGACCCCAGGAAAGCCTGCAAAGGCCAGGGTGGCCCATGCCCAAAGGCTGGCTCCCTCCTGAGGCTCAAATCCTTCCTGGGGGGATAGGGAAAGGGGACTTGCCTTTCTCTGATCGCTTCTTTACCTTTTCTCGCTTCCTTCCTGGCAGGTTTTCCAATGCATTTTCTTACTATGGATTAGTTCTGCTCACCACCGAGCTCTTTCAGGCCGGAGATGTCTGCAGCAGTGAGTATGAGCCCCTCTTTACCAGTCCAATGCCAGCACACACGGTCATACACACATTCCCACCCCAGGTGTTAGGGGTTGATTTTGTTCCCTGGTTCTTGCCGCACCAAAGAATTGAAGGGCAGAGACACAGTCATGAGGCGGAGCAAAAGTTTTATTCAAATAAGCTCCAAGGGAGGAGCGGGCCAGAGGCAAGATAGACAAAGGCTTTACTTGAATAAAGCAGAGAGGAAGGGGAAGCTCATAGACAGGAACTTGCAAGCTCAATCAGAGCTCTCAGGAGCCCCTCCCTACTTATCTGAAGTAGGACAGGGAGGGAAGGCTTGTGCTTAAAGTCTGAAAAGTAGAATAAAATAGCAAAGTGACAGAGGCACCCCTGGAAGAGGATAGAGACAAATGTAGTAAGTTGAGCAGTAAGAAGTCTTTTAAAAATACACACTCCAGGGAAGGGGAGTGTGGGCAACCTCTGAGGGGACGAGATGCACTTAGGGGCCTAGGATTCTGTCTTTTAGGGCCTTCAAGAATGGGATAAAGTAAAGGGTTAGGGGCATGTAGGCTTGTCATGCAGTCTCATGATGTCTGTCTCCAGTGAGAGACAATATGTCATTATCCATAGTCAGTCCTCCAGATAATCTGTAGGGTAGACTTCCTGTTCTCCAAGGGAGTGGCTGTCCCCAGGCACTGGGAACGTATCAGTTAAGACTGCTCGCGCTGCCTTAAGATAGATTGTTGGCTGATTACCAAAGAATATGCCAGGAATCTAACGTCCCAACTCTCTTTTAAAATGGAATCTTAGCCTTAAGATAAGTCCCTCCTGTTCTTATTAGGCTATTCGTATCTTGGCATTTTTAGGAAAATTAATCATGATGCTTGTCCCATGCTCGGCCCTATCTCACCTGCATTGGCTAGAGCAAGCCTCAAGGTCAGCCCAGATTCAGAGCATGCGGAATGAGCTCACATGGCAAAGGGTGTGAACTCAGGGAGTCCTTTCTGGTTCTCTGCCTTTATCTGATTAACTCCCTGAGTTCTTGGTGGGTCCCACCTTCTTTTCATCCCGCTCATATCTGTCTGCCTGATCCAAGGTCTATCCTTAGCAGGCCCGGCCTCGTACAAATTCCAGTGTCTTTTAGCCCACAAACCTCAGGGAGAATGTTCTGCAAAATCTAAGCACAGAAGATCTGGGCTGTGGTTTTCAAGATGCTCTGTAGAAACCTGGACAATCTTGTCATGACAGCAGTGACCTTACAGCAGAGTCACATCTTATGTCCTCTGAAGAGTTCTAGGAGGTCCAGCACCGAGTTTGATGGCTATGACCCTGCACAGCAATGCTCATGGGCATGTTAAGTCTGAGAGCCAGGTTGAATCTCAACCCTGGCCACACAACAGAATCACCTGGGGGAGCTTTTAAACAATGCAGTGCCCACTGAACAATGGCCAGACCAATTCAATCAGCATCTCTGGGCGTGTGACCTAGGAATTAGTGGGTTGTAAAAGCTCCCCAGATGATTCTGTTGTGCAGCTGGAGGTGGGAACCCCTGAACAAAAGAAGGAATAAAAAGCAAAGTCTATATACAAGATGTCTGAGCTCTCAAACCATTCAGTCTCTAAGAATATGCTAGATTCCGATGTTGAACCCACGATGGGGGATAAAGGGATCAAGTTCTTGCTTGCCTGCAGGATTTGCCCAATTGTCTTTTTCATATTAAGCATCTGTAATCTTAGTGAATAGTTCTGTTTATTGGTATAGGGACTTAATAAGATAGTGGAGTCGCATCTCACTGGGCGGTGTGAGAGTCTAAATAAACTACTCTGAAAAATTGGCTCAATTGTAGATTTAGGGTTTGGTATTGATGGAGCAAAAATCACAAAGAGGATCCAGGGGAGTGATATAAAGCAGGGGTTATATCAACTCTACTTCAATAAAAAAAAAGAAAGAAAAGAAAAGAGGGGGGAAAAATAAAGCAGGGCTTGGCATATTTTTTTCTAAAAAGGCCTGGAGAGCACATGTTTTAGGCTTTGTGCAAGGGCCACACACTTCTGCCACTGCAGCAGGTAAGTAGCTGTGGACAATGCACGAGTGGACAAGCATTGCCTGTGCTCCAGTAAAACCTTATTTATAAAATGCAGACTTGAAATTCAGATTACTTTTTATATCATAAAATGTAAGTTCCTCTTTTTTAAAAAATCATTAAAAAGTTAAAAAAAATATTCTAAGCATGCAGGCCAGGCAGAAACAGGCAGGAGACAGAGTCTGGCCTTCAGGTGAGTTTGCCAACCCTTGTTAAAAATCTCTCTCTTTTTTTTTATTGAGGTATTATATTGGCTTCCAGTCTACAACATAGTGATTCAACAGTTATATACATTATTAAATACTCACCCCAACTAGTGTAGTTGCTGTCAACCTAGAAAGATGTTACAGAACTAATAACTATATTCTCTAAAACTGTACTTTCATCCCTATGACTAATTTATATTATGATTGAGCTTTTGTGCCTCTTTATCCCCTTCATCTATTTCCCTCCCACCCCAACCCCTCCCCCTTGGTAACCCCCATTCACTTCTCAGTGTCTGTGAGCCTACTGCTGTTTTGTTCATTTTAGTTTGTTTTGTTTTTAGATTCCACATATAAGTGAAATCATATGATATTTGTCTTTCTCTGCCTGGCTTATTTCACTTAGCATAATGCCCTCTAGGTTTGTCCATGTTGTCCCAAATGATTAGGATTTATTTATTTTCTAAGGATGAATAATATTCCATTGTGCATACGTACCACATCATCTTTATCCATTCATCTATTGATGGACACTTTGGTTACTTCCACTTCTTGCTTATTTAAATAATGTGGCAAAACCATATGGGTGCATACATCTTTTTACATCAGAGATTTTGCTTTCTTTGGGTAAATTCCTAGAAGTGGAGTCAGTGGGCTGTATGGTATTTCAATATTTATTTTTTTGAGGAACTGCCATACTGCTTTCCACAGTAGCTGCACCAGTTTACGTTCCCACCAACAGTTTAGAAAGGTGCCCTTTTCTCCACTCCTCACCAACATTTGTTATTTCTTGTCTTTTGGATGGTGGCCATTCTGACTGGTGTTGGTGTGAAGTAATATTTCACTGTGGTTTTGATATTCATTTCCCTGATGATTCGTGATGTGGGGCATCTTTTCATGTACCTATTGGCCATCTGTTTTATCTTCTTTGGAAAAATGTTTGTTCAGGTCCTCTGCCCATTTTTTAATTGGGTTATTTGTTTTTCTTTTGGCGTTGATTTGTATGAGTTCTTTATATATTTTGGATGTTAACCCCTCATCTGATAAATCATTTATGAATATATCCTCCCATACTGTGGGCTGCCTTTTTGTTTGGTTGATGGTGTCCTTTGCTGTACAAAGCTTTCTAATTTCAAGTCTTACTGTGGAACAAACCCACAGCTGGACGTCAGGGAGCCTGGGTTCTAGCACCAAGTAGCTGTGTGATCTTGGGCAAGTCGTTCATTCAATAAGTATTTTCTACATGTCAGGTGCTGGTCTAGGTGTTAGGATAAATCAGTGCATACAAAAGACAAATATCCCTACCCTGTGAGCTTATATTTTGTCTGGGGGAGAGAAAATGAGAGTAGGAAGGAAAGAATAGCATAACAAGTAAGGAAATTATATGACATGTTAAAAGGTGATAGGTATGTTAAAGGAAATATTTTTAAAGGTGAAATCATGCCTCTCATACAAATATAAAATAAACACATGTCAAATATTCTATTTTAGTTACTTCATGATTTAATGAATGAACCAGTTGTTAAGAAGAGTGAAATGTGTGAGCTTTTACCTATTTGCAAGCTAACAAGTCAGTATTTCAGTTTCCACAGATGCTAGCAGAAGACATGACACTTCTGGGTTAGAGACAAAAGACCTTATTACTCACAGTAGTAGCAGCAGCTTGAGTATTAATATTTCCTTACATCAGTTCCTTGAGCTTCAGTTCCCACAGGGCAATGTGAGGAGGGGAGGGAACACTAGCAAAAGAATTGGAATATATATGAGAGAGGAACCCTGAGCTTAAGGCACCCAGATCTTTTATACTGGATGTTAAGCCTGCCTACTCTGCCATGCAGGGAGACCCTATATCTTCAAAGGCTATAAGCAAATCTGCCCTTTGTTTCAAAGCAAAATACTCTATTTTTCAACACTGTTTGCTAAAAAGAAGTCCTTGAAAAGAGTGCAGAACAAAGGCAGCCAGGGCCTCTGCTTATAAAACATGCAAAAATGTGAGAGATGTGTGGAGAATTATCTATTAACACCAGTAAGATATTAAGACTGGTTCAAAGGAGAATGCAAAACACGCATTCATATGGGCAATAAAAAATGCTGAAATGGATTTACAATTAGAGGCAATAACCGATCACATCACCACCAGACACAATTTGCATTTCGATTGACAAAAATAGTTTGCATTAGTATGAGTATTCTTTAATGTGCAGAGTTGTAAAATAGCTCAAAGATAAGGAAAGGTGAGATAATCATAAGGGTATGTGAGACAGGACATTTTGCTCATTTCAAAGTCTTTCACCCTATTTCCTAGCAAATAATATGGTGGGAAAAGATAGTAGACTAGGATAAGGGAGGTCAGGAGTGTGGGGCAAAGCAAGGGGCAGTGGGTTGGTTGAAGTTTTAAATCGGGTGGTCAGAATGGCCTTAAGAAGGTGATATTTAAGGAAAGACTTGAAGGAGGTGAGGAAATTAGTCATGGGGACATATGAAATGAAATCCAGGAAGAGAGGGTAGCCTGCAAAGGTCCTGAGGCAGGAATGTTGAAGGAGCAACAAGGAAACCTTTGTGACTGGGTTAGAGTGAGCAGAGCAAGGGAGATAGAAATAGAAGATGGGTTCAGGTAAGTAACAGGGACCACCCTAGAGTCTGTCTGCCACAAAAGCACCTAGTACAGGTCAATTCTGGGCAAAGCATGTGCCTGTGCCCAGCCCAACTTCACTCTCTGAACCACCTTGCCTAGTGGTTTTATTAGCCCTTGTTTTATGAGGAAACTGAGGCTCAGAGAGATGAAGCGGAGGATTGAGTCTGACTCCTGAGCCTGGGCTCTGTCCATAGCACCCCCGCTGAATCATACCCAGGGAAGGAGGTGTGGGGAGCAAAAGGGTGTTGACCCAAGGCTCTGTGCATGACACTTGCCTGCTCTCTCTTTCCCACCTCCCAGTCTCCAGTCAGAAGAAGGCAGTAGAGGCCAAATGCAGCCTGGCCTGCGAGTACCTGAGTGAGGAGGATTACATGGATCTGCTGTGGACCACCCTCTCGGAGTTCCCAGGTGAGGGACCTGGGGGAGGGGGAGCTGGGGCAGGGAAGTCTGAAACCGGCAGCTGTTCATCTGGTGGCTCTACCTGGTGTTACCTGCAGGCAAATCCCATTTCTACAGGAGCTGGGGATTATTTTTTCAATGCTTAGCTGCAAGTTGTCCAGAACCGTGAAGGAGCTGATATTTTGCTCCAGGCTAACAAGTTAAGCTGCCCAGTATTGGGCATGTGGGCAGAAGACATGAGACTTCTGGGTCAGAAACAAAAGATCATTACGCACGGTACAGTAAACAGCATGCTTAGTGTATCAGTGCAGTGGGTTTGTAAGACAGCTGTGGAATCTCAAGCTTAAGGAACCCAAATTTTTGATAATGGGCTGCCAGAAACCAGCCTAGCCTTTGCTCCAGAGAGAAACATTATCTTTATTATATCAAATAGTAAACTGACCTGTCCTTTGCTCTAGAAGGAGACAGTATCTCTACCTTCCAACGCCATTGGCTATACATACAAACAACCTATAACAATAATATCTGATATTTATTGAGTGCTTAGTCTGTATGTCAGGAACTATGCTAAATGTTTTATAGATATGGTCTCATTTAATCTTGTGAAGTAGTATAATTATTCCCATTTTATGACTAAAGAAACCAAGGCTTGGACAAGTGTAGCAAAAATTTCCTACAGTTGGCAGTTGCCAGTTTCTGCATCTCCATGTCTGAGGGGTATCTCAGGTAGAATGGAGAGCCTCAGTATCTAAAAGCAAGCAAGGGGGGGCCAGAAGTGTCAGGGAGTTAATGCCTGGAAACAGCCTTCCAACAACAACTGCAGGAGGTAGTGTGTAAGTACAGCAGCCCCCTCGCCTATCAGGCAGGAGAATTCGAACATGCATGCCCCACCCTGACTCCCAGAGTCCTCCAGGAGAATGCAGCCACAGTTGCCTACAGTGGTAATCTGCTTGATATGCACTCTTGCCCTCCCTTCCCCGTCTTTCTTGCCCCCTCTCCTACTGCTGCTTCCTTGGGTTACCTTCCAAGTAAACACTCGCACCTGGACACTTGTCACTGAATCTGCATCTGGGAAAACCCAGCTAAGACACTGAGTATCCTACAGCTGGCAGAGCTACGAATTGTGTTCCCATCCCAAAGCCCAGAGTCTTCACTCCTTTCTTAGTCTAAGACTATCATTCTTCCAAAACCCTTTCCCCATACAGCTTTGAGTATATCTTATAGGTAGAATCTTATAGGTCAGATTAAAGGCTCTGGACCTAGACCCAGCATTGCCAGTTGCCATACCCATGGCTCTAAGCACTCACCATTTCCATGACTGTACCTTTCTGAAACTCAGATTTTTCCTTGTTGATTATGTTTATCATTTTATGGTTTTTGTTCACTGACATATCTCAAGTTCCTAAAACAGTTCCTGACACACAGTAGGCACTTCATTTATTGACTGAATTAATGTGAGAAATGGGGCTACTAATAGCATTTGCTTTAGAAGGTTGTTTTGATGATTAAATGAGGTAATAGATGTAAAAGTGCTTAGCCTAGACTTAATTATTGTTAGTAGTAATAAGTACTATGCTATACTGTCTCTACTGAGGTAGAGGTACTATTTTTATTTAGTCCCATTTTATAGATGAAGTAACTGAGGCTAAGAGAAAGCAAGGGATTAGCCCTATACCACATGGCCAGTTAGTGGTAAGATGAAGCCTGAAAACCCAGGTGTTTCTGACTCCCAGGTGTCCACTGCCTGGCTCTAGTGAATGCCACTCCCCTTGGTGCCTGTATTAGTTATGCATTGCTGTGTAACAAGTTATCCCAAATGTTAGTGGTTTAAGACGATACATATTTACTACTGACAGTTTCCGAGGGTCAGGAACCTGGCAGTGGCTTCCCTGTGTCCTCTGCTTCAGCAAACTTCACAAGGCTGCAGTGGAGGTATTGGCTGCAGTCTCATCTGAGAACTCAGTGGGGGCAGGATCTGCTTCCATGCTTACTCACGTGGTTGTTGGCAGGATTCGGTTCCTCCAGAGTTCTTGGACTGAGAGCCTCAACTCCTCCCTGACGGTTGGCCAGGGGCCGCCTTCAGTTCCTTGCCAGGGAGCCTTCTCCATCAAGGCACGTGCACGCAAAGAGCCCTGAAGGGAGAGAATGCCAGCAAGACAGGAGCCACAGTCTTCTATGATTTCCTCTGAGAAGTGACAGCCCATCGCTTTTCTGTATTCTAGTCATGAGAAGCGAGTCATTGAGTCCAGCCCACTTTTTTATGGGGTGTGCCTACCAGGAGGTGGGGGTCATTGGGAGCTACATCAGAAGCTGCCTCCATGGTGATCCCGCTGCTTTGCAGGTGTCCTGGTGACTCTGTGGATTATCGACCGCCTGGGCCGCAAGAAGACCATGGCCCTGTGCTTCGTCATCTTCTCCCTCTGCAGCCTTCTGCTGTTTATCTGTGTTGGAAGGTGGGTCATGAAACCAGCTCTCTCTCAGATCATGGTCATGGGCTCCTTGGGCCTGCAGGTGTGGATTACACCCCATGGGTGTCCTCTGAGGGGTACCCCAGCCCCTTCCTAGGATTGAGGCTCTTGGCTGCATAACTGACCGAAAACTCAGGCTCAAACTTGGGGCTTCTGATGGGGATGGGAGTGGGCAGGTCCCCACTTTGGTTCAGGTTTTGCTCCAATGCCATCACATTTAGACTTCTGACATCATCTCCCAGTGAGTTCATGCATATAGCTGTTTAGTTCACATATGAGTTAAAAGCGTTCATTTGCTCAATGGAAATATTTCAAGGTCCTGTTTTATAATCTCCTTTTGGCATTTCTCCATTTTTCCATCCATCGAGAGCCTCAAAATATGGAAGTGGCCTGTGCCACCCTTGACCTCTGAGAAGCCCCAGACCAAACCTGATGAGGAGTCTGGAAGGTCTGGAGATACAGCTTAGCCCCTGAAACAATGGTATTCTTAGACATTTGTGAAAATAATAGGGCAGAGGAAGGAGGATGAGGATCATTCTAAAAATAATGAATAGAAGTTTACTTTCCCTGGCTCAGCTAACTCCTGACTCAATTCCTGTCCCCACAAAGTCCTATCTGGGTTTTTGATTGTTTATATCCCTCCTCCCCAACCTTGCCTCCAACCCGAGTGCCACAGATGTTTCCTCTCTCAGCCTGGCACTTTGGAGAATGATGAATGTTTACAGGCAGGCTTTTAAGAGGGCACTGGGATTGCATGCCTGCATGGCTGCATGAATTCTTGGGTGCAGGTGGGTTTGCCAATTTCTAGGATTTAAATTTTGCCTGGGACTTTATTGAAACAAGCTGGTAGAAAAAATACCTGCTCACCTGCTTTTTTTTTTTCTTTCCTTAGAAATATGCTCACTCTGTTACTCTTCATTGCAAGAGCGTTTATTTCTGGAGGCTTCCAGGCAGCCTATGTTTACACACCTGAGGTAGGAAGTGTGTCTGGGAGCGGCTGGGGCGGGAGGGAGGGAGCTCTGCCCCCAGAAACACCCAGCCTGGGCTCCTCCAGCTGAAATTTGTCCTGGGCTCTGTGTGGTGACTGTGAACTTCTTCATTATTTCAGGCTGTCTTTCATTTTTTTCTGCTTATAAAAGGTAACATTCAGTGTAAAAGTTCTAAATGCTACATAACTGAATAAAGCCAAAAATGAAAGGGCCTCACACCCCCCATTCCTACAATCTTCTTGAATTGGTCAGTGTGTATTCCTCCAGATTTCTTCGAGGCACATAGTAATGTTAGTACATGTATAAATTTGAGTAACTGAGGAATTGAGAATAGTCTAAAAAGGGCCTAACTACAATGGCATGGGGCAGGGCTTAGAGAAACCCAGAAGTGATAAAGCAGCACCCCAGAGCTTGCAATGGGGTGAATGTGGCTGGGAGCACTGCTACCGCCCAAGGCTGTTGGGTGAAGACAGAAGGGTGTTATAGGGTCCCAGGAGAGAGTTGCGTAGAGAGAAGATGTGACCTTTAGTTGAGGTAGCCTGAGCCAACTTGGAAGGGAAGGAACAGGGGAATAAATACCCCAGCTGCTCTCCTCCCTCCCACCTTGTGCACAGGTGTGCTTCCTTTAGTATTAATGTCAGGATGTGGAATTGCTGAGCTAGTGCCTGTAAGCATTACAAACATTGAAAGTGCACCCTCTAAAATGTTGCACCAATTCACACTCCACACAATATCGCCTGAGCATATCCATTTTCCCACACTCAGGGATCACAGCTTATTTATTTTGTGTTGATGGGATTCCCTTTCATCTCACTTTAGATGGGAGCAAAAGAAGGGAGGAGGGCATGTGATGGGCCAGATGCTGTGCTGGGGGAGGGGTGTGTCTAGATTGTCCCTCCTGCCCGCAGGTCTGCATGGCACTCCAGAGGCCTCACTCTGAGTCACCATCCTGAACCCTGCTCCCTCCAACCCACCCTCTGGGCCCAGTTCCAAACTTGCCTCCTACAGGAAGTCCCCCCAGATTTCCACCTCCCCTGACCTCCTTTTGCCCTCAGTGTCTGTGGTAGTTTGGGTAATTTTGGTCATGCCAGACAGCCTGTCCCCCAGGGAGACCCCTACTAAGGCTCCCTGTGGGCAGGGCCTGGGTCTCCCTTTTGATTACCTTATGGGTCTGGCCTAGCACCACCTCAGCAAAGACTCATGGATTGATTGCGGGAGCCTCCCTGGAGGGCATCAGGAGGCACTAGAATGCTGCGTGCCCTGCAAGGACTGGCAGCCCATGGTCTACGATGGTGTACACCAGGGCTCAGCAAGCTACAGCCCACAGGCCCTATCCAACCTGCAGCCTGTGTTTGTGCAGCCCAAGCCCTAACAGTGGTTTGTAAATGGGTGAATGAAAACTTGAAAGAAGAATATTTCTTGACATGTGAAAATTATATGAAATTCAAATTTCAGTGCTCATTAATAAAGCTTTATTGGAAGACACCACACCCAGTCATGCACTGTTAATGTCCACGACTGCTTTTGTGTTTCAGTGGCATAGCTGAGGCCTTGTCAGAGACCATATGGCCCACAAAGCCCCCAGTTTTACTCTCTGGCCCTTTAAGAAAAAATGTGCTGACTCTTGGCTTAAACTAATCCAGCTGCAACAATGAAAAGTTGCTTAAATAAAGGACTGATCCAATAGACAGTCATTTATATGAGCAACATGGACATGGAAATGTTCATAATCTTTTTTTTTAAAAGGAAAAAGAGCATGTACAGAAATGTCTAGTGGAGAAATTATCCACCTCTGGGACTTGCTTCAGTATAATTCAGGAGGGAAAGGAAGTGAGTGAGGGGGTGTGATTGAAACTAACACAAGGCATTGTGCTTGAGACTAGAGTTCATTACATGTTCTGCTTAGTCTGTGCTTGAAGTTCACCAAGACAGAAAGGAAAAATGGGAATCTAGTACTATTCATTCATCCACTTGAAAAAGTTTTGAGTGCCAATCATATGCTAAACAATTGCATATATATTACATAGTGTATGTAATTATATATAATATACATTATATACTGCACATACATATTACATATATAACATATATAGTATATATATGCATAATTTCACACATTTGTATGTATTGCATATATGCAATTACATGTATTACTGCATATAATTATATATGTTACGTATTTTAAAGTATGCAGTTACATAAATATAGACACTATGCTATATATATATGTATGTTATATATGTATTGCCTAGCATATGCTTGGACTGAATAACTTCTAAATGGACTATTTATATAGTACATGTTGTACATGATCTTTCTATGTAATTGCTGCTATGTTAACATGGTTGGTACTCAGTAATTCCTACTAAGGAATATTTGTATTGTTTTCCAATTTTTCAACTATTACAGTGCTGACGTGAACTGCTTTAGAAATTCTTGGACACATTTGTACTTCCTTTAAAATGAATTTCAAGATGTGTAGTTGCTGAGTTTTATTATATATGATATATAGTCATATAATTAATATATAAATGTATAATGCACTAATTTATATTAATATCAATGTATAAATTATTTGATATATTAACATATATAACTATATATAGTATACATTCACATTTTGTTATATATGTTTTATATGTATATATACACACATATATAATACACACACACTTAATATGTCCATCAATTTATTGAACTGTAAACTGGAATATCCATTGTGGAATACAATTATAGCAGCCAAAAAGTATGAGGTAGGTATCTATACTGATGTGGACAGGATTTTAAGACATATTGCTGAATGAAAAAAGCAAGTTGCACACTGATGTATATGGCTTGATACCATTTATATTTAAAAAGTATTGTTAAATATGTTCTATATTGTACACATATACTTCAACACAGCTGGGGGGGGATACATTCCAAACTTCATAATAGTGGGGTCCTGTGGGGAGAATTTTCCTGAGAGACAGAATGGATCAAACAGAATTGACATGTTTTAATTTTTTTCAATGAGAGTATATTTATATATTGTTTGTGTCATTGAATGAATTAAAATATCATACATAGATGCATATGGTATGCACTCAAAAAGTATTTGTTGAACGAATGACTAAATGAATGGATACATATGTGTATATAATCATAGAAAGAGTAGAATAATATACATGCAAGTGTGACAGTGGTTATCTCTGAGTATTGGGATCCTACATAAGTTTTTTTTTCCACTTAATGCTTTTCGTTCTCTCCAGGCTTTCTGTACTAAGTACCATAATGTTAGAGGCATGCTAGCTGCTGTAACAAGCAACTCCCCTAATGGAATGTACTGATGTAACAGAAATTTCTCACTTATGAACCAGTTCAATGTAGGTGTTCCAGATTGGCAGGCAGCTTTTGTTTCCATAGTGATTCAGGGACCAGAGCTCCTTGCATCCTGTGACTTTCCTTATCCAGCACTTGTTAACCACGGGTGATTTTACACTGCCCCTTACCCCCTTCCACAGGACATTTGGCAATGTCTGCAGATATTTGGGGTGATCACAACTCAGGAGCGCTGGGGCGGATGTGCTCCTGGTGTCTAGTGGGTTGGAGCTAGAGATTCTGCTGAACATTCTGTAAGGCACAGGACAGCCCCCACCACAAAGACTGATTTGTCACAAAATGCCCACAGTGCCGTGCCCCAGGGCCTTGCAGTCCTTCTGGCCCACACACTGGGGAGAGGAGTGGAGAAGACATGCCCACTTCTTAATTTCCTTGGCCTGGCAGCTGCATGGTCCCTTCCCACTTTGCCTACGGGAGAGCCAGCAAGGGGCTCTCCTGGGTACAGACTAAGAAACCAGGCAAACCTTTCAATCTCTTTCTTTATGAAATGCCTTGAATGTCTGTGACCAGTGCTTCCAGATGAACTAACAGAATGTGGCGGTGGAACACTGTCTGGGTCTTGAATGTGCAGTGGTTCCTGGTGGAGTCTTCAGGGACCACCCAGGACAGGGAGGACCCCATTACTGGACCCCACCCATAGCTTGCTCCTAGCCCTTCAGAGATGAGACTCCCTACCCTGGTTCCCTACCCCTAAATAGGGTCACCAACACCTGAGGGATTCACCCTAACTTCTGGCCCACCGGTGGGGGTCAGTCCCATCATTCTTGAGCTAGAGAGGAGGGAGGGACCTGCATTTTCTCAAGTCCACACTGGTGGCTGTGTTTCAGGTCTACCCCACGGCAACTCGAGCGCTGGGCCTGGGCACCTGCAGTGGCATGGCGAGAGTGGGTGCTCTCATTACGCCGTTCATTGCTCAGGTAGGTGTCATCCCCAAACACAGAGGGGATGGGCATGACAAAATGCATGGCAAGCATTTACTCTGTGCCGGGGCTTCTGCAGGGCCCTCTGTGCACATCATCTTATTTTATCCTAACAATCCAGGCTGTGAAAGGACTATTGCTTGCAAATGAGAAAACAGAGGCTCAGAAGGGTAAGGGGACTTGCCCAAGGTCACGCAGCTGGAAAGTAGAGAAGCAGGGAGTCAAGCCCAGGTCTTTCCTTTGCAGAAGATGCTGTAGGTGCTTTGTGATTTGGCCAAAAACAATGTGGATGAAAGCAAGTAGGCCAACATGATTTCGTGGGAAACGATGTCCCAGACCCTGATTTCCGAGTTGGATAATTAGGTGAAACTGCAGAATCCTGCAGCTGTTGATGTGACTTGAAGCATTTCTATCCATTTTTAGGGATCTTATTTTGAAGTCTTTCTGTGTTTTTAATATTCAGTTTTTTTTCTGTTTTTATCACTTTTTTTTTATTAAGGTAAAAAGTCCCCCAATATGAAATGAACCATTTTAAAGTGCACAATTCAGTGGCATTCAGCACATTCACCGTGTCGTGCCACCATCACCTCTGTCTAGTTCTGCGACCTTCTCATCACCCCCAAATAAAACTGTACCCTTAAGCAGTCACCCCCCAGGCTCCCAGCCTCTGGCAACCACCAGTCTGCATTCCATCGGTATGAATTTACCTCTTCTGGATATTTCGTATAAACAGAACTCCAACACGTTTTAGCCGAGTATTTCTGGTCTGCACTGTGGTGTTTGACCCCTGCATGTCACTGCTTGTATCGGTGCGATGACGGCTTGCCATGTGCCTGTATGGGGCCAGGACCCCCTGAAGTGTCCTCTGGTCAGGAGGTGGATACGGCTCTTAGGCCCATTTGGCAGATAGGAAATGAGCTTTAGCTCTGCTGTGTGATTTGCCCCATGCCATAAAGATAGGACGTTAAAGAGAGGATAGTTATGAGGAATATAATAAGACTCCTGAGCCTGATGGGGTCCGGGTACAAATCCCAGCCCCATCCTCAGTACCTGTATGAACTTGGGTGTGCTACTTAACCCCATTGAGCCTCAGTTTTTCCCTCTTAAAATGGGGTGAAGTACCTGCCTCACAGAGCTATTGTGAGGACGAAATGGGACACTCACAGAGTGCTTGCAAGAGGACCTGGTGTTACGGACTTTCTCTGAATGTTTGGCGGAGCCAGCGCTTTAGAAGGGCTATTCTCTCACCGGCATGCATCTCCCTCCCCCAGGTGATGCTGGAATCCTCTGTGTACCTGACGCTGGCAGTTTACAGTGGCTGCTGCCTCCTGGCTGCTCTGGCCTCCTGCTTTTTGCCCATCGAGACCAAAGGCCGAGGACTACAGGAGTCCAGCCACCGGGAGTGGGGCCAGGAGATGGTTGGCCGAGGGACGCATGGCACAGGTGTGACCAGGTCGAACTCTGGCTCTCAGGAGTAGTGACCAATGGGAGGCTGAGCTGGTCTTTGAGGCTACAGAGAGCAGGGAGCTGGTGGAGTTCAGCTGGGGCACCAACCATCACTGCCGACATCGAGAACTCACCCAAGAGTCTACGTGGACCAACAGTTTTGTGTCTTGACTCCGTTCGCTCATATTCATCAAGATCCACCCGGGGAAGGGGAGGCATTTGCACTGGGGGGCTCTGTGTGTGTGTGTGTGTGTGTGTGTGTGTGTGTGTGTGTGTGTGGAGGTTTGGTAATCACCTGTGAATGTGAATAATCTGCATGGGGAAACTGCCACATCGGAGTGCCCGGTGATGCCGGCAGCCAACCAGAGTCAGCCGGTCACACCCTCGGTGAACAGCCAAAAGGTCTCTGTAGATACAGTCCAGACCCAGAGCCCTGGGAGGCCTGCCACCCAGCGAGTCCACACCTGCTGCCCACCCACTGGACCTGTTCAGTAGGTTTCTCCTAGACCCCTGGCCCCAGGCTCTGTTCTTTGGAATTGCAGGTGACCCCGGGGTGGCCTGAGCAGCTTTTTCCTGGGTCTGAGGAATGCTCCTTCAGGTGGGCCCCTCGTTTGCCTCCCCAGGGCCTGACTAGTGGAGACTCGGGAAGATGGACATGCATTTGACCTTGAGCCACATGCCCCCACCTGGCCCCCTCTGGAGTGGCTGTTCCTGGCTCCAGAGGATCCAAATAGGTGCATTGGGACAACTGGACTTGCACCCAGATGACAGCCTCAGAAAGCTGTTACCCTAGGAACTGGGGATGAAGGAGGTGAGAATCAAGCCCAAAGCCAAAGCAGGGGCCTCCCCTTTGGCAGCACTGAAGGCCATTCTGGGCCCCATCTGGGTCTCAGGCTGATTGGTGACTCTTGGAGAAAGAAAACATTAACTCAGGTTTCAGCGCTTCGGATTTTGAGCATGGGTGGCTTGCTAAGTGGGAGGAAAAACTGAAAAGATGCCAACCCCCAGCTCCCATCGGGGTCTGGAGACCAAGAATCCTTCCTGCCCAGCTCCTCTGCCACCCCTGCTGTCAAGGGCTGGCTTGGTCTTCCCATGAGGCAGGGGTTCCAGCACTGGTCCTCAGGAACGCTAGGCTGGGGAGGAACAGGAGAGCCCAGATGTGTGAAACGTGCACATTTTCAAAGGAAGAGAAGAGGGATCAGTTGGGTTTCGGGTTGGCCTCGGGAAAAGAGCTGCTGCCGTGTCTCTGCAGACAACATCCACCTCCAGGATATGGTTTACTCAAGCCTTTTCCCCATCGTGAAAGCAGGGAACCTAGAGAAGGAGGGAGGAAGCTGCCAGATCCCATCAAAGGCCGGAGAAGACTGACCCTCCGCTGGGAGATATCTGCGTGGGTAAACACTGGGACAAAGCCAAATGTATACGTTCATCTCTTATTAAAATGTGTTGGTGATGGACATTGCAAGGGTTGAAGTTCGTTCATTTGTCATGATGTCCTGACACTTCACCTCAATGGTCTTGCCAGCTTTGTCCATCCAGGGTAATCTCAATGCTTTACTATGATCTTTAATAATCAATAATCTTTCCAAGAAGGGAAAGTTGCACAGTTGGCTGCCAACATCATGACTCTGAGTTGTTGAAGAAATTACTTTCTTCTGATAAGGAGGTCACAATGAATGACTTCTTCAAGCGCAGGTCCTAGATCGACTGCAAACAATCCCATGTCTCTGGAATATGGGCTGCAACCTCCTTGGCCCAGGCAGCCAGAGAGAAGGCAGCTTGGCAGATCTCTGTCTCCCTGACACTCACATCTCCTTGAACAGGAGTGGCTATAGCTCTAAATTTCTGGTCTGCTGAGCTGTAACTCCGGGGCGAAATCCTGGGGCAAATTACCTTTGAAACCAAAATCAGTCAAAGGGAGAAATAAAGTGGGAGAAAACCATTTATTTCTTACAAGCAGTCCACTTCCCACTCTCCTGTGTCTCTCACAATCCAGCTGCCGAAGAAGAGACCCAGCCCCCCACCCAACCTCTCCGGTACAGATAAGTCCTTGCTAGCTCTTGTAATTACCTACTGATATGGAGATGGGCTACTTCTCTCCACCCTTTGGGAACACCTATTGTATGGAGATGCACCAAAGTCAGGCGAGAGATACTGGAAATATTGCAATTTTACCCACATGAGCTCTCCTGGGTAACAAACCTTTCCTTGTCTTTTTTGTTGTGCAGATGACCAGACTCTGCCAAATGACCATGTCCACTCCCATCACCCTCAAATAACCTGGAGGAGCAGGGGCTGGGGTGGGGAAGGGGTGTGTTTGGTGGACAAGAATGTTTTGCAAGGGCTGGGTGATGTAAAGGGGCTTGCAGTTGAGGGCCTTCTCTTCTTGGAAGAATGAAAGTTGAAAACTCATTGCCTTCCAAATTGCCTGCTCTTTTTTAAAAAAAATCATTATTGAGTGATAACAAGAGCTGCCACAGAGGTTGCCCAAGCCTCTGAAATACACAAGGCCTTTAACTGAAGGCATTTGTATCTAATTTTGAACTATCCAAAAGCTCCTGTTTCCATTAATGGAGATGTCATCTGTTTCTCTTAGTGTTAGGGAGATTTCAGAAAATGGCAAGAGGTGTTCAGTGTGGCCAGGGCTATAATCTTTCTTTCCTTCCTATACTTCAATATTCTTAGGAACACATAAATGAGATATGTTGATAAGGAGATAAAAGGGTGTCTTAGGGATGGTCTTTGAAATAAATAGGATATTCATTATTTTTAAGTAATGTTAAGGAACAGAGAGCCCTGAAAGATGCGATCAAGAATCTCCCTATTAATATTACTATTAATAAACATCAAAGGACTGGCATAACCTTGAGCTACAAGCAACAGTAAGAACAGTCAATAATAGCTTAACTTGTTAGAATATTAATTGTTCATTTAACAAGCTTAGAGTCAGGCAATTCCAGGGAAGGTTCAACAGCTCAGTGATGTCATCAGTAACCCAGCTTCTTTTTTGCCTTTCCTCTCTGCCATCTTCTGCATCTTCTGCCATTTGACCCTATGGCTGAAACCTCATGGTCACAAGATGGCTGCTAAAGTGCCAGGCATCACATTTTTTTCAAAGAAGGTAAAATGGGGAAGCAGCAGTCACAAAAGGCCTGCTTTCTAAAAGGTCTGTTGTTTGGGTTGGAAAGGGAAGTCTTCTAGCAGATTTACCATAGCTCTGCCTTAGTCAGACCTGGGTCACATGCCCATCCCAGCATGAGTCCTCACTCACTAACACAAGGGCTGGGGAAGGAAGGGCCTACGTCCCACAGCATCAAAGGATACCCACAGCATCTTGAACACACAGTTGGGATTCTGTTACACGAAGAAGGAAGGTGATAGAGGTGGGCCGGGGAATGGTAGAGAGGGGCCTTGCCACAGAGCTCCCATCAAGGCTGTTTTAATTGCAAGGAATAGAAATTGGACTCAGGTTAATTCAAATTAGGAGTACAGCTTTATTATAAGGTTGGGATTGGTAGTTAATATAGGGAACATCAATGTGTGAAACAGAATTATAAGAAACAATAGGAGGAGGGCAGGAATATGGCAGAGTAAGAGCACAGGTCCTAAAGAGGGTAGCTACCACTCAGCCCTAGGTTTGTTGAACAGTGGGAATCTTCCAATTTGCAAGACAGGAATCTGGATCTTTATGTGAAATCTCCAAATGTTAATATATTGGATCAAAAACTGTTAAATGATGTGTGAGCCCCATGCAATCTGTCTGCAGGCCAGGTTTGGTTAATGGGCTGCCAGTTTTCAGCCTCTGAAAGGTTAGAAAGTTCTCCGAAATAAAGTGCAACCTCACACAATGCAACAGCGTACTGGGAGCTACCAAACTCTGGAGTGGCTGTTCCTGGCTCCAGAGGATCCAAATAGGTGCATTGGGACAACTGGACTTGCACCCAGATGACAGCCTCAGAAAGCTGTTACCCTAGGAACTGGGGATGAAGGAGGTGAGAATCAAGCCCAAAGCCAAAGCAGGGGCCTCCCCTTTGGCAGCACTGAAGGCCATTCTGGGCCCCATCTGGGTCTCAGGCTGATTGGTGACTCTTGGAGAAAGAAAACATTAACTCAGGTTTCAGCGCTTCGGATTTTGAGCATGGGTGGCTTGCTAAGTGGGAGGAAAAACTGAAAAGATGCCAACCCCCAGCTCCCATCGGGGTCTGGAGACCAAGAATCCTTCCTGCCCAGCTCCTCTGCCACCCCTGCTGTCAAGGGCTGGCTTGGTCTTTCCATGAGGCAGGGGTTCCAGCACTGGTCCTCAGGAACGCTAGGCTGGGGAGGAACAGGAGAGCCCAGATGTGTGAAACGTGCACATTTTCAAAGGAAGAGAAGAGGGATCAGTTGGGTTTCGGGTTGGCCTCGGGAAAAGAGCTGCTGCCGTGTCTCTGCAGACAACATCCACCTCCAGGATATGGTTTACTCAAGCCTTTTCCCCATCGTGAAAGCAGGGAACCTAGAGAAGGAGGGAGGAAGCTGCCAGATCCCATCAAAGGCCGGAGAAGACTGACCCTCCGCTGGGAGATATCTGCGTGGGTAAACACTGGGACAAAGCCAAATGTATACGTTCATCTCTTATTAAAATGTGTTGGTGATGGACATTGCAAGGGTTGAAGTTCGTTCATTTGTCATGATGTCCTGACACTTCACCTCAATGGTCTTGCCAGCTTTGTCCATCCAGGGTAATCTCAATGCTTTACTATGATCTTTAATAATCTTTTAATAATCTTTCCAAGAAGGGAAAGTTGCACAGTTGGCTGCCAACATCATGACTCTGAGTTGTTGGAGAAATTACTTTCTTCTGATAAGGAGGTCACAATGAATGACTTCTTCAAGAGCAGGTCCTAGATCGACTGCAAACAATCCCATGTCTCTGGAATATGGGCTGCAACCTCCTTGGCCCAGGCAGCCAGAGAGAAGGCAGCTTGGCAGATCTCTGTCTCCCTGACACTCACATCTCCTTGAACAGGAGTGGCTATAGCTCTAATTATTTCTGGTCTGCTGAGCTGTAACTCCGGGGTGAAATCCTGGGGCAAATACGTTTGAAACCAAAATCAGTCAAAGGGAGAAATAAAGTGGGAGAAAACCATTTATTTCTTACAAGCAGTCCACTTCCCACTCTCCTGTGTCTCTCACAATCCAGCTGCCGAAGAAGAGACCCAGCCCCCCACCCAACCTCTCCGGTACAGATAAGTCCTTGCTAGCCCTTGTAATTACCTACTGATATGGAGATGGGCTACTTCTCTCCACCCTTTGGGAACACCTATTGTATGGAGATGCACCAAAGTCAGGCGAGAGATACTGGAAATATTGCAATTTTACCCACATGAGCTCTCCTGGGTAACAAACCTTTCCTTGTCTTTTTTGTTGTGCAGATGGCCAGACTCTGCCAAATGACCATGTCCACTCCCATCACCCTCAAATAACCTGGAGGAGCAGGGGCTGGGGTGGGGAAGGGGTGTGTTTGGTGGACAAGAATGTTTTGCAAGGGCTGGGTGATGTAAAGGGGCTTGCAGTTGAGGGCCTTCTCTTCTTGGAAGAATGAAAGTTGAAAACTCATTGCCTTCCAAATTGCCTGCTCTTTTTTAAAAAAAATCATTATTGAGTGATAACAAGAGCTGCCACAGAGGTTGCCCAAGCCTCTGAAATACACAAGGCCTTTAACTGAAGGCATTTGTATCTAATTTTGAACTATCCAAAAGCTCCTGTTTCCATTAATGGAGATGTCATCTGTTTCTCTTAGTGTTAGGGAAGATTTCAGAAAATGGCAAGAGGTGTTCAGTGTGGCCAGGGCTATAATCTTTCTTTCCTTCCTATACTTCAATATTCTTAGGAACACATAAATGAGATGTGTTGATAAGGAGATAAAAGGGTGTCTTAGGGATGGTCTTTGAAATAAATAGGATATTCATTATTTTTAAGTAATGTTAAAGAACAGAGAGCCCTGAAAGATGCGATCAAGAATCTCCCTATTAATATTACTATTAATAAACATCAAAGGACTGGCATAACCTTGAGCTACAAGCAACAGTAAGAACAGTCAATAATAGCTTAACTTGTTAGAATATTAATTGTTCATTTAACAAGCTTAGAGTCAGGCAATTCCAGGGAAGGTTCAACAGCTCAGTGATGTCATCAGTAACCCAGCTTCTTTTTTGCCTTTCCTCTCTGCCATCTTCTGCATCTTCTGCCATTTGACCCTATGGCTGAAACCTCATGGTCACAAGATGGCTGCTAAAGTGCCAGGCATCACATTTTTTTCAAAGAAGGTAAAATGGGGAAGCAGCAGTCACAAAAGGCCTGCTTTCTAAAAGGTCTGTTGTTTGGGTTGGAAAGGGAAGTCTTCTAGCAGATTTACCATAGCTCTGCCTTAGTCAGACCTGGGTCACATGCCCATCCCAGCATGAGTCCTCACTCACTAACACAAGGGCTGGGGAAGGAAGGGCCTACGTCCCACAGCATCAAAGGATACCCACAGCATCTTGAACACACAGTTGGGATTCTGTTACACGAAGAAGGAAGGTGATAGAGGTGGGCCGGGGAATGGTAGAGAGGGGCCTTGCCACAGAGCTCCCATCAAGGCTGTTTTAATTGCAAGGAATAGAAATTGGACTCAGGTTAATTCAAATTAGGAGTACAGCTTTATTATAAGGTTGGGATTGGTAGTTAATATAGGGAACATCAATGTGTGAAACAGAATTATAAGAAACAATAGGAGGAGGGCAGGAATATGGCAGAGTAAGAGCACAGGTCCTAAACAGGGTAGCTACCACTCAGCCCTAGGTTTGTTGAACAGTGGGAATCTTCCAATTTGCAAGACAGGAATCTGGATCTTTATGTGAAATCTCCAAATGTTAATATATTGGATCAAAAACTGTTAAATGATGTGTGAGCCCCATGCAATCTGTCTGCAGGCCAGGTTTGGTTAATGGGCTGCCAGTTTTCAGCCTCTGAAAGGTTAGAAAGTTCTCCGAAATAAAGTGCAACCTCACACAATGCAACAGCGTACTGGGAGCTACCAAAGCCCGAGACAGCCCCCTCTCTAGATCTGCGGGCCTCACGTCTACCCTTCTCTACAGACCGGCCTGCTCCTGCCTCCTTATGGCTAATGCTTATGCCTCCCCGTGCACATGGCTTCTGCACCCTGGCTCAGCTTGCAAACATAGCTGACTTGGCTGTTCAGGGTCCCACTCCCAAATTCTCAGGAGAGGAAGCTGATGGGCCCAGTGTAGTGTTGGGTCCCCGCCTAGTGCAATTAAGTTGGGTCAGAGAGGGGTGGTGTCAAGAGGTACAAACATGGTGGCTGGCCTGCCCTTTCAGCAAGGTGGCATAATGATCGGTATGTCTGGAACCCACTACACGCATATGTAAACTCTTGAGTCTGTTCATTATAACTGCCTTCCAATCCTAAAGCCCTCCATCATCCTGAAACCCCTTCGGACTCCTCAAAGATTCAGCGACTTTCAGTCAGACTTTAGTCACTGGTGGTACTTTATTGTATTCCACATGGTGGTATAGACATTTGAACATCCAGATACTTCACATATAATCATCCTCGGTTAATCAAGACCATCTGATAAGGAACCACTTCAAATACTCCTACCCCCACCATGCCAGAGAACAAAGCACTTTCTAAACTCATCAATAAGAAACCAATTCCACTTATGATGGAATCAAAAAGAATAAAACACTTAGGAACAAAAGGAACGTGAGATTTGTACAAACTATAAAACATTGCTTAAAGAAATTGAAGATCTTAATAAATGGAGACACATTCCATATTTATGGATCAGAAGACAAAATTGTTGAGGGGTCAATCAATACTCCCCAAAGTGACCTATAAATTCAGCACAATCCCTCTCAAAATCCCAGCTGGATTTCTGTTGTTGTTGTTCCAGAAATGGGTGAGCTGATCCCAAGATTCATATGGAACTACAATAGTCACCAAAAAAAAAAAAAACAGTTGGAGGTCTCACACTTCCTGATTTTAAAACTTATTACAAAGGAACAGTACTCAGAACAGTGTAGTATTAGCATATATGGATCAATAGAATAGAAATGAGGGTCTAAAAACAAACCCATACATTGATAGTCAATTAATTTTGACCAAAGTGCCGAGACAGTTTAGTGGGGAAAGGTAATCTTTTCTGAATTCATCAAGCTGCTGAGAATTCATTGAAGAAATGTGACCACAGATCACCTTCATGGAGGGGGTAGGAATGTCAGGTGAAGGGAAATTGAAGACAGCAAGCCTTGCCAAATCTTCTACCACGCCTTGGGGGTTGCAGAATATCCCCCTACTTCTTCTATTCCAAGCTTTAGGACAGAATCGAGAGGCAGCCGCATTGCAAAAAGGTCCTTAACATTTGCACAAAGAATAGGAGGGTCACTTTGGGTCTGACTGTGGACTTTCCTGACCCCAGATATTTTTCTGAGTTCACTGTGTTGTGAGTCCTTTAGAGTTCCTGCTGACAGCTGACTTTGACCAGTAGGGGTTGATCTCCTTGGGGAATTTTAAGCCGAGTAAAGTAATGGCTTTGGTCAAAAACTAAATGATGTGTTCATTCCCAGCACCAGGAAGTACCCCTTCCCTGAATCTTCCAAGAGTGCCCGCGTCTTGGCTCAAATGCGGCTATGCGGAGGAGAGAGCTAGTTCCTTTTCAGTGTGTTTTGCAGACAGCCTTGGGGAAGAAGGCTAAATGATTCCCTCATAACCGTGTATTTGCGCCCCCACCCAAGCTGGGATTCAGTGTTGTGCAGTGGCTGAAGGTGACACCCTAGAATCACATCATTTCAGGCCCTGCATCTCCATTCTATGCCTTCCTGGCTGTTGAACTGCACTGCCTCCCTGTACCTTGATCTTCTCACCTATGAAATGGGAGTAATAGCTACTTCACGGGGCTGCTAGTGGGGGTATCAGGATTCAATGAATAATGCATGCAAGAGTTTAGCACTGGTACCTGGTTAGAATGCAAATGAATTTTTATATAATAATAGTTATAATTATTAAATATTATTATTATTATCATTATCACTATTAGGGTAGAAACTAACTTAGATCCCAGTTTTCTCACCCTGCTTAGCTTAGGGCTGGCCAAATCATGGCAGGTGCTTTGTGAAGAACCCATCAAGTGAGAGGTCGTGGGAAGGAGCAGACGTAGGGGCATGGACACAGAGGGCATGGCAGGCGTCCATCAAGACCTCTTCACAGCACATAGGGTGTCACTAGTCCTGGATGCATGAAGACTACACGGCTCTGGACTTTCACAAAAATCCAGACCGATAAAAATTCAACCTCAGAGGCTGAGGCAGATGATGAGGGATGGAGATGCTAGGTACCTTCTAGCTCATTCGAGGCTTTCAAAACCATCTGGGAGCCTGCTTGCCATCTTGGGAGGTAAGACAGATGTTAGATCTGTCCCCCAAACAGGGAGTATGCTCGGTGAGTTTAGTTCTCGATAAAGGGGTTCCTTGTGGGTTGCTCCCTCCAGTGGCCCTTCCTCAACGTTTCCGTGGTGCCCATGGGGCCCCTCGGGCAGCTGGTGCCATTTGGAATCCTGGATGTGGAACGGACATCATGTGTTACTCATTCAATGTCTTACCTCTTCTGTCTCCTCTACGCTCCGGTCCTACCTAGAACTTCCTGCAGCAAGATCACAGCGTTCCCTCGAGTGCGTTCTGTGGCATTGCTGTTCTGGGAAAAGGGTTTCCATGGCCAGATAGGTTTGGGAAGACTGGATTAAACAACATTGGATAGATGTCGTTGCTGCAGGACATTTCAGACCCTTTAATATGCTAGTGTGATTTGTCATCACGTTACTTAATCTCAATGATCCTCAATTCTCTGCTTGCTTCTTGATTTTCTGAGCTTTCCTTTCATTTGAGGGTTCATGGAGTAACAGCCTTCAGCTATTTTTCATATGTCAGACCCACAGAGGGTAGAGGGACCTCAGAGAGGCCCCCAAGTGGGGCCAGAGTCACCTCCAGGGACTGACCTTGCGGTTTCATCTCATGACTCTTGAGGAAAGAGGCGGAGTGGGGAGGGGGTGAGCACGTACAGAGGAACACAGGGATCAGCTGGCCAAGGGAAGCGGGGAGCTCCTGTGGGGGGGGGCAGTAGTCACTGGCATCTTCAGAGGTGGGGCGGTGGCATCCTGAGCAACTTTCTTTCTTCCAAAACTTTCTGAAAGAGCTTAGCTGCCTCCAGGGCACAGCCCCAATGGATGGTGAGCCCGTAGCCTCCGTGACCATAGTTGTGGATGACCTGGAAAGGCAAGAGAGAAGGTGGCCAGGTCTGCTTTGGAAGGTTCCAGAGCTTCCTGAAGGGTCCCAGGCAGAGGCATGGTGCACTGGGGCTCCTCTAAGAACCCTGGGGGACTGGCGGGACCCCAGAACAGCAGTAAGAGGGGTCCTTTGGGGAGCTGGAGGTGGCACCCTAGACTCCTCTTCTGCTAAGGAGATGGACCTGCATTATGAACTTAGCACACAAAATGCAGAATCACCTAGACCTTGAGCTCAGAGATCCCCCATCACATCAAACTGTTTGAAGTTCCCCAAATCACCTTCCTCTTTTCCATCCTGCTCCGGACTCTCGGCCCTCCTGTGCTAACAGATAGACTCTTCTGCGTAAGCAGAAGGTAACTCAGGAGGAAAGAAAAGCAGGGGTGCCGCATGGGTGGACTCTGGTTGGCAAACTAATTCATCCTGGGGACAGAGGCAAGACCGCTGGGGCCATTTTCAGAGCTAAAACCATCAGCAGGGAGTTCAACTGCACCTGTGACTATCCCCGTCCCACACACCACACGCCTGGGAAAAGGGAGGGTGGCTCTCCCGGCGGGAGCCTAGCCAGCACCCACTCCTCGGGTCAGTTCCTTCATCCCGGGACAGCTCCTGCCCAAGTGGAGGGAATGGAGGAGGGGGACCCCAGAGAGATGACAGGGCAGCCACCAAACGGGCATCTAGGAGGAGTCAGATTCAAACCTTATCCCAGCCATGGCCATCACCCTTAGTCTGATTCAGGCAAACGATTTCACCTCTTGGACCCCCAGTTTTCTCATCTGAAGTGTGGGGAAAACAGTCCCCAGCCCAAAGAGCTGTAGGAGGGAGTCAATAAGGTCGTTCATGTCATGGGCACAAAGTTGATGCTCCACTAGTTTTCCTTCTAGTTAACCCCAGGCTTTAGCAAACTGAGCCACTGCCTTCTATGTAAACTTGAGCAGGTCCTTCCCATCACTGAGCCTCAATTTCCCCATTTATAGAAGAAAGGGTGTTGGCACTACCCCTGCCTGCTAAGAGGCTGTGTGCAGCTGGAGGTGAGGTGAGACTGTTCCCTGGAGATCCCAGAGCCCTCTTAGGAACAGGGGAGGGCATTGCTTTCCCTGCCAGGAGATCATACCTCTGTGACTGAAGATCCAAAGCAAAGCTGTTCTCTTTCTAGCCGAACCTGGGAGCGTACTGGCCGGAAACCAGTCCATTCGGCAACAATATTTGCATCCTGGAAGGGAAAATGTTAGTGATTCATCTCTGGATTTTTTTTTTTTTTTTGATGCTGCCATCTTTGGGTGATAGAGAGTTAGCTTTGGGAACCTCATTATCATATCAAAAACAATACCACCACAGTCACTTTATTAATCACCACTAACATCATCACCACCTTTATCAGCCACCAGCGTCCTTACTATCACTACTGTCACCTCACCACCAGTTCTACCAACTACCCCAACCTTAACCACCACACTCTCACCTGTGGTATTATCAGCAGTGACCACATCATCACTGCCATTATCACCAGCCTCGGCATTTTTATCACCATCAACCCCAACCCCTACTTCGGTCCCCACCCTCACCACCTTCACAGCGGTCACTGCCGCTAGCAGGCAAATGTGAAAACAGATTTCGGCAACAAATACCTCTCCTCCTTGTGAAGACAAACTAAGTTGTTTTAGGGAGGCCACCTCAAAAGAGAGCATTTCTTCCCTTTGGACAGGTAGGTTTCACCGGCCCTCAGTGGGATTTCCCTGTACACGGTCAGAGTCTGTGCATTCCGCAGTCCCTTGCTGGAACTGACTTGCCCCAAGATCCCCGTGGCGGTGCCCTCCCGTGCCCTCATGATCAGGCTGCCGGGACCTGGTCTAGCACACCGACGCCCCCCGCCCTTACCTTCAGGGTGGGCTCCAGTCTGCAGCAGCCCTCCCAGATGGTGTTGTGGTCTTCGATATTGTTTACCTCGTTCCAGTTCCCCAGCTGGAAGATGCCTCCAAGAGTCACTGCCTGGATCCTACATAAAAGGGAGAGGAGTCAACGATGAAGGAGAACAAAGCCTTTGGGATGCATGCGGGTCATCACCATGCTCACCTTTACCACCATCTCTACCATCATCACCGCCAACCTTGTCATCTCTTCTAATGCACATCGTGGTGACCGTGGTTAACACTACTGACATCCCTGAAAATTGCTCAGAGAGTAAGTCTTCGGTGTTCTCACCACACATAAAGAAGTCATAATTATGTGAAGTGATGGATGTGTTCACTGACTTTATTATGGTGACAGTTTCTCAACATATGTGTATATCAAATCACCACTTGTACGTCTTAAATGTACATGATGTTGTATGCCAGTTATATCTCATAGACAATGTCATTTCCATCGACATCATCTTCACTACTGCCTTCCTTGCTACCACTGAGATGTCATCACCATCCACCCCATTCACCATTTCCACCACCACTAACGTCACCACCGAGATAGTCAGCACAGCCACGCCATTAACATTGTTTCCAAGACTGTCTCTCTGCCATACTATTAGCATCATCATCAATAGAATCATTTCCATCAGCACAAATACCGCCTCCACTTCCAATCATCGCCACCACTATTGACCTCTTCATCAATGCCACACCACCGCCATTAACATCATACATCTACCAGCATGTCGCCATCACCACCCCCACGATCAGTGACTTCCTCATCAACAACAATACTATCTCTACTGCTATCAACCCACCGACAATACTGTCATCCCATCAACACCACTGCCATCCGCATAACATCAGCACCTCTGCCATAATGTCATTGCCATCAACCCCGATCACCGTTCCCACTGCCATTCCCATTACCGACATTCACACCACTTCTACGTCACTGCCATCCCATCTACTACCTTTGCTGCAGTGTTACCACTACTGTCATCCAAAAGCATGTTCAAAATAGAGCCCAATTAAGGCTGAGTCCTGCCTTCCTTCCCAAGGGATATAATGGATCAACTTCACATAAAAAAACTGAAGAAAAAATCTACAGGGCCTGAGCTGGGTAGCATGAGCATATGGAGGGCATGAGCATGCCGCAGGATGTCAGAGTCTCACCCTGGGATGATGTACGGGGACTGGTAGATGCCTTTCCCTGGGTCATGGGTGATAATGAAGTTCTTCATCCAAGGGGCATCCACCTGCAGATTGAGAACGGAGAAGTCTCATCAGAGGAGGTGGGCCAGCTGGCTGGCCTGCCCTGTTCCCCTCTATGACCTGATGTTCTGGCGGGGCCACCAAGTCGGTTCCTTAGCCCTCTGCCCCAGGCCTGCAGCGGACTGCTTACTCTTGCGGGAAGAGCCACCCACCCCCTGAAGCACTGCACGCTCTCACCCACAGGTCCACAGAAAGGCCCAGCGCACATGCGTGAACACCCATATACCCACACACACCTGTGAATGCATGCATGTACACTCCCACATGCACACGTTTCCACAAATAGGCATGCTTCACAGAGGCAACGTGGAATGATGCTCACAACACAGGCTCTTAAACCAGGTTGCCTGGGTTCTAATCCCAATTCCACAACTTATGACTGTATGAAATTGTGCATATTACTTAATTCCTCTGTGCCTCAGTTTCCCCATCTGTACAAGTGATGATATGATAGATCCTACCTCAAAGAGTTGTGTTAAGGATTAAGTTATTAACACTATAAAGTACTCAGGCCTGTGCCTGGCACTTAGTAAACCCTCAGTAAATGCTGGTTCTTCTTTTTTTATAACACAAACATATGCAGCTTCCACATATATACAAACATTTACACACATGCTTTGCTATTGAGGAGAAACCCCAAAGAGAATGCTGGGGAGAGTTATGCTGGTCCTTCTTGTTTTTTTTAACACATCGTTCCTTAAAGACTAGGGACTTTTCTAACAGATGTCTCTGTCACGTCCTCTATATTTGGAAATGAAATAAGCAGGCAGCTACCATCTTTCTACCAACAAAATCAGGGCGTCTCAGCCTTCACCTTCATACTTACCTTAATGATCTGCCCCCGGCCTGGCTGCAGCAGGGGGTCTGGTTGCAAAGCCCCAGCCCACACCCCGGTGCAGTTAATAATCACGTTGGCGCCTTCTCTCGCCACCTGGCAGTAACCAACAGGTGTGAGGGGGTGAGGACCATGGAAACCCCTCCCCTCCCTTCCCTTTCCTTCTACCCTGCAGCGCTCTGCTCCCTGGGGAACAGTGGGGAGGGGTCTCAGGGAAGAACCCATGGGCCTGGCTCCAAATATCTGCTCTGCAATTCACCCACTGTGTGACATCAGATGTGTCCCATCACCCCAAGGCTCAGCCGCCTTAGCTATAAAATGGAGCTAGTAATATCTTTTTATAGGCTGCTATAAGGATCCAGTGTGGCTCTGGGCATAAAAGTGCTTGCAAAGGAGTACTCTGGGAGGGGGAAAACTTCTTGAAATCTTCTGGAAGAAGTCAGAAATGATGCAAGTCATCTGTATGTTGGGACCCTTAGTTCTGTGTGTGTAAGGGATATTCGACAGCTCAAGGACACACATGATGGACACACAACCTCCCAGCAAGAGCCCCAGTAGCTCCCATTACAGGTCAGTCATGGGACACACACACATTGCAAGGTGCTGTTATCGTTCATGAGCCAGGGTTTGCTATCCTGGACTGTGAGCTTCTTGGGAATGAGGGCTGAGTCTGAGTCAATTGAGTATTCCACATGCCTATGGGGGCTCAACCCAGGGAAGCTGCTCACTGTATAATGCTAGTTGCTGCATGTACCAAGTGCCTTTCATGTGCCAAGCACTATTCTAGGTGCTGGGATTGAGCAAAGTCATACAGCAAAGCTCCTGGTACATAGCCATTGCCTGACGATGGGAGCTGCTCCTATCATTATTATTGATGGTGGTATTACTCTGGAGATGAATCAGCTGAGAGCCTTGACTTGGCAGAAACATTAATGCAGATTTTGGTAGGAAGCAACCGTGGAGGCAGGGTACAGCTGATACTGGTAAGAGACAGGTGGCTCTCTGGCCCAAAACCCAGAGACTTAGCTGTAGACTAGCCCCTCAGGGCTACCATGATCCCACAGTCGCTTTGTTTCTGCCACCAACATCAAGACAGAATTCCTGAGTCCTTCTGGGATTAAGAAAAGGCTTAAGGTCTCAGGAGGATCTTAGGAGCCTGAGGAGGGGCCCCCCACCCACAACAGGAAGCAGGGGCCTCCCTCTTCACTCCCTCTCACAGTCAGCCCCTTTCCAGCCCTGCAACTCACCTCCTCAAAAGACTCTACCTTCCGCTGCAAGAATTTCACTCCCCTCTCAGTTAACCTGGAATGATCAGACCCATCAGAAACCCAGGTATTCAGTTCTCTGTCCCATCCCTCCAAGAAAATGGCATGGGGAAAGTTTCCCAAAGAACTTTCTGTGGATATTAGTCCCACAACATGTTCCTAAGAAAATGCCTGTGCAGTCAAAGCAATTCATGAACGTTTTGATGGACTAGTGGTCCATGAAATGTCACTTGGGAAACCTGAGGTGGTCCAAGCCTCAGTAGACAGATGAAGATGGGAGAAGGGCCTTGCTGCAGGTCATGCAATGAGTCAGTGATTGGATTGGAACTCAAACCCAGGCCTCTTAGTTCAAAATGCTTCCTACCACCACCACATTGCTTTGTGCCATCGAAGGGGATGAGATATGAGGTTGAGAAGGAGCAGAATTGGACCAATGTCAAATGCCCCTTCGTCAGAAGCAAGGCATGAGGAGAGAGGTGGGCTGGGAACACCTACCTCTCCCTCTAAATGTCCCAGAGGAAAAATATCTGTCATTATTAGCAATGTAGTAGAAACACCAAAAATGAAGGAAGTATACCATATAAAAGTTGATATATAACCGCAGGACTATTGTATCTACATGGTTTGCTCAAGATGGAAAAACTGGAATCATTCCATCCAGAAAGAGTCTTGACGGGAGGCATAAGTGTTCCAACGTTAGGAGAGGTATAGCCATGTTTTAATACAATGGTTTCCAAACCTGACTGATATTAGAATCACCCAGGGAACTTCTTAAAATGCAAACTTCTGCGCTCCACCCGAGGATCTGATTTCAGTAGATATGATGTGGGGTCCTGAAATCTATATTTTTAAAAAACTCCCCAGGTCATTTGATAAACCATCCATTCCAGATTTTTTTAAATCTTAATAAAATAATAATATATGGGAAATATATAGAACCTTTCTTAATATGAATGTATGTGAATATAAATATGTGTATCTCTTAAGCTAATGTTTGTTTATCTAGAATGCTACAAGGTACCTATTAATAACAGAAACAAGGCAGAAACCTCCACTATCACCTGTATTAGTTAACATTGTTCTGAAGGTACTGGCCACAGCAGTTAGACAAGAAAAAATAAAAGGTATAAAAATAAAAGGCAACTTATGTTTTGTAGATGTAAATATAACTGTAAAACTTAAAATCTATTTACAGCCAATATACAGACTTCTGATTTTAGTGAGGTGAGTAATAAATATCACATGTAAAGAACTGCCCACATGATTTGATGCCTGACTAGGTATAGGAACCATTGCTTCAGTGCACAAAGGTGATCAGAACGGAGAATAGCTCCCACCAAGCCTAGGGGTTTCTTTAACAATTGGAGTTGGTTAATACAAAGACGAATCCCATGAACAGTCATCTCCTATAATGCTGGTCCCTGGCAGGTGCTTTCCTCAAACTCAAGTTGAAATTCTCACCTTTTAGTCAGCCACTGCAGGTACCTCCTCCCCTCCAGAAGCACACTTGTGTTGAACCAGCCATAGCTTGAGTAACAGCAGCAAAAGTGGGAATAAAGGATCAGAATCAGAGCTATTTTTGAAAGCTGTCAAATGGAGGTGGGAGCTGTCTCATTTGGGGGCCCCTAAAGGTAGAGCCAGGACCACTTTTGAACCTGGTTCAAAGGTTCAAGTGGGGAGTGGTTTTTAGCTCAATACTAGGAAAGATTTTCTATCAGACAAAGCCATCCCTGACACTGGGATTTGCAAGTGGCGATTGGACGCATGTGCATAGAGGAGATTCAGGCGTGGGGTGGGGTGAAGAGGGACTAGAGAGGCATCAGGCTAGAGGGAAAAGAATAGAGGGGTTTGGAGTCATACAGACTAGGTTGGAATCCCATTTTGGTCACTTGGCTGTGTGGCCTTGGAAAGTTACTTAGCCTCTTTGATGCTCAGTTTCCTCATCTACAATAAAGAGGATAGTGATACAGAGCTTCTGAGCTTCAGACCTGTGATTCTATATCCCCCACTTCTGTAGCCCAAGGCCAAGTATGGGTGGGTGGTCTCTCTGAAGGAGTTGGACAGAGCATTAGGAACCCAGGGTACCAGGAGCTCTAGGCCTGGGAGTCTTCACTGTTTAGTGCTTTCACCTGCTGCTGCCTTCTGGACAGGTCTGTCTGAATTGTGGGGCCTCAACCCCTTTGTCCATGATAATTACCTTACCTGTAATCAGGGAACATGTCCAGCTCTCTGGGGGTCAGCCTCCGAAATCCCAGAACTGTGTCCTTCCAGGAAGGATCCTACAGAGGAAGAGAGAGGGCAGGACAGGAATGGGTAAAAATCACCAATAACAATAATATCAAAAGCTTACATAATACTTGCTGTATGTAAGGCCCTGTTTGAAGCATTTTACTTCTACCACTCCATTTAATCTTCACAATAATCCACTGAGGTGGATACTATTTTTATCCCCATTTTACAGATGGCCCCGTTCAAGCTTAGAGAGGTTAATACCTTGCTTAATAGATGGAGAAGCTGAGATGTGAACCCTCACAGTTTGGCTTCTGAGTTGCTGATCTTAACCATTGTGCTATCGTAAGGTTCAGGGTAAAGATGGGAGTGAGTGATAGGGTAAAGGGGAGAAATAGGGGATAAAAAAAGGGGCAGCAATCAGGGTCACCAAGGGATGAGAATGGGAGGAGCAGAAGGTAGGGTCAGACAACCTGGGTGGAGATTTGGGCCTCACCACTGACCACCTTGAATTCTTTGAGACTCAGTTTTCTTGCCTGTATAATGTAGTTAATAACCAGTCTTGGTTCCATGGGAAGTAACAGATAACTTGGGCAATGCCCTTAGCACAGTGCTAAACTTTAACTAAACTTGGAGTGCTGGCTTGGAGTTCCGGGCACCCAGCCAGTCCACCCTCTCCAAGCAACTTGAGAACGTCCCCCAGGGCTACATCCTTCTTAGCGCATGGGCACCATGTGGTCGCAGATTGCCTGGGTTCAAATCCCAGCTTTGGCATTTAAGAGATTTGTGGCTTTGAGCAAAGCCTTCCATTTCTCTGAGCCTCTATATTTCTCACCTGTAAAAAGAGGATCCTGACAGCACCTACCTCCTGGTTATTATGAGAATTAAATGAGTCACTAGTTGTAAAGTAGTCAGGACAGGGCCGGGCACATAAGTGCTTTAGAAGTTTGTGCTCTCTGGCGTGTTTTAGTCCGTCTCAATGGAAAGCCCTGGGATCTCCAGGAAGTCGGGGAACTTTGCAGCGTTAGCACCAAGGATCCAACACTGCAGGATTGTCTGGGTCGCACCCATACCAGATCAGAGGTCAGTTCCCCCCCCGTTTATCAGAAGATTCTTTGGTCTCTGCCAATTTAATAACAAAATTGGGAACAAAAATATTTTAAAAGCAAACAGAATTGAAAGTAAACCTGGTTTGAGCATAGGAGTCTGTTGCTCAAAGTATTGCTGAGAATTGGGGCCCCAGCCCTGGTCTCTGATCAAGACTCTGCCCCTTGGTCAAGGGCCCCTCACTCACCGGAACAGCTCCATGGAAGAGGTTGTAGCCTGAGATTAGGGTCAGGCCCATGTTTGCAGCGTTGGGAGAATAGATGTGGCTCAGGAGATAGTCAAAGGTCTGCTGGTTCCAGTGCCTGGAAGGAGCCCCCAGAGTCTCAGTCACCTAATACCTCAAGCTGGGCAGGAAAGCTCCAAGGGTTGGCTTGCACGGGGCCGTGATCAGGCTGGTGCAGATGTGTCCAAATCCAGAAATTACCACATTCATTTTTGCAGTGCCCCAAACGCCTAAGGGTCTTCCCCCTCCTCAAACTTTCCATATTTACTCATTACTAGGATAGAGAAGAGAGGGAACAAAGGGTGCTCCATCACGACCATTTGGAGCCCACCTCTGGCTTGGAATCTTGTTGCTATGAGTTTAAATAAAGGCTTTGACCTGCTTTGGGAACAGAGCCACACAGTTCAGGCTCTCTCTGGGCACCCTGCACTGTAAATGCCAGCAGCAGACATTAGCTTACTGCTCCCAAATGATTTCCTCTCCCCCCTGGACTCAACTGCATTCCCTGGACTCCTTGCCGCTAGGTGTGGCCATGTGACTGCACGCTGGTCAATGGACCCTAAAGACTCTGCACACGAGGTCCTCAGTCTGTGTGTTCCTTCCACAATCACTGCATGATGACATAAGAAGGTACAGTGAGTGGCACAGGTATGGTTGGTGACATCAGAAGCCACAGAGGAGGATGACAAAGCCGTGCGATGGAAGGAGCCTGGGCTCCTGAATGGCTGCCCACTGATCAGGAACGTTGGTTTTGGAATTTATGGGAGTAAGAATGAAGCCTCTGTTTATTCATTTGAGAATTCCTCTGTTGAAGCAGCTGGCAATTTCTAAACTAACATAATAACCTTTGCGACTTCTTTGCTAAACCTGAGCATCAATTCACCCACTCAGAAGTATTCCTGATTCGTCAATGTGTATGACACCAACAGGCCCCCAGTTTAGGGGAGGAATGCCAAAGACTCCATTCGCCTAGCACATAGTAGGCGCTTAACCTGTATTTGTATTTTCTTCTAAGCCTTGATAGGGAGCTTGTTTGGGGTGACAGGAGCCCTAAGAGGGGGCATACCCTCTGCAGACTCAGCCCCTCCAGCTCCCAGGCCACCCTGGGGGAACCTCACTCACGCCTCCTGTGGGTGGCTGGGTTCAGAGAGGTAAGGCTGCCAGAGGCCTGCAGCCACATCGGTGTTGGTGAGTGGTGTGAAGCGGTCTGCATAGATCTTCACATCCAGGGACGGCAGGACTGCATGGTAGCGCTCATGGATGCAGAGGGCGGTGGACAGCCCAGTGATCCCTGCTCCCACCACTACCACATGCATCGTGCCAGCCTGCAGGAGAGGAAGGGGTGAGGCATGTCATCATCACCATCAGCTCTGTCATCACCACTACCTCACTGCCACCCACTGAAGGCTTAGGGAGTGCCAGGTGCCACCAAGCCCTGTCTGTATGGATCTTGTCAATGACCTTCACAAACGGAAAAGGTGAGGCGGAGGGGCAAAGCAAGTTGCCCAAGGTCACACAGCTGGTAAGTGATGCAGCTTTCTCTGGGCTGCAGGGCCATCATCATTCAGCTGCCCTGAACATCCCATCCCCAGGCTGGGCAATGAAAAAGGCCTAGCAAAGTACCCAGCCAGCTGGGGAGTCTAGTGGTTAAGATAAAGGGTTCTGGCTTCAAATCTCAAGTCCGCTCTGCCACCTGCTGGCCCATGACCTTGGGCAAGATGCTTCATGAGCATCAACTTATTCTGGAAAATGGGAAAAATAACTCATGCTTTGGAGAGTAGACGGGAGATTTAAAAAGATGTCAAATGTAAAAAGTTTAACACGATATCTAGGGCAAAAGAAGTGGCTTTACTGACATTTGTGGGGCACCTACTGTGTGCCAGCTCCAGAGCTAAATGCTTCCCATGCTTGCTTCCATCTAAGTCTCCCAACACTCTTATGAAGGGAGGAACTGGTGTTACTGGCCCCATTTTACAGATGAGGAAACTGAGGCTCAGAGAGGGAAAGTAACTTATCTGAGGTCACACAGTCAGTCAGTGGTATTGCTGGGATTTAATTTCAATTCAAGTCAACTCAACAAACACTTATTGCACACCTACTGCAAGCCAACTGGCAGCTGGTGGGAGCAGCTGGAGCATGTGAGATGCAGTCTCTGGCCTCAGGACTGAGATCCCCCAGCATACCCACTCAGGGCCTGCCCTGGGATGCTAGACTGGCTGGGTCCTGGAAGTTTAGAAGACCCAGCAGCTTTTGCCCTTGAAGCTGCTTGGGCCTGCACAGCAGGGACATATTCTGCCGGCTCCTGCTGAGGCAGAACAAGGGCACTTTTTGTGCCCGGAAGGGCCAAATTCAACTTTCCCTCCTCTTTACTCACAACCCTCTTCCCACAGACCTTGCCTCCTGGCAACTAGGGCCTGTGGCCCTGAACAGCAGGACGTTCTCAATATGGCCTAGTTTTGAACAGGGGGAAAATCGCTCCAGCCTAAAAGAACTGGACTCTGTTGGGGTTTCAGCAGCCAAGTTGGAGATAAAACCACAAAATGGAAAGGCATCATTCCTCTGGGCAATTCTTCCAGCTGCAAGCCTGGCTTTGGTTGCAGGGACAGACCCTCTCACCGACCCCCAGCCTCTTCCCTCCCCTGCCTCCCCATAGGAGATGCAATCTGCTCCTCTGTAAAATAGGGTTAACCCCGATCTCACAGAGTCATCCTGAAGATTAGACGACTCGCTTGGCAGAAGTTCCTAGTACAGGGCCTGGCACAGAGTAGGCCCTCCATACAAAGTGGCAGCCTTCTGTCCCCGAGCACCTTGGAAATAACAATGCAACGAGTAAAGGGATGTAGAGGAGGAGATAGGAAGAAGGGAGAGTCAGACCTGGCTTCCTTTCTGGCTCGCGGTGTGACCTTGGCCACGTTACTTCTCCTCTCTGGGCCTTCTGACTGTCTACATAACTTCTGGAGAGTTGACCACTTTTGTATATTAACAACAAGAAGACAGGCATAGAGGGCTTTCCTGTTTTTTCCAAATTCCCCTTAATGAATCCAGGAGGCAGTGTGGCATGGGGAGGTGGCAGTAACAGCCCAGGCTTAGGGGCAGACATACCCAGGCTCACCGCCTGGCTCTGGCAATACCAGCTGTGTGACCCTGGGCAAGATGCTTAATGTGATGCAGCCAGGGCGAACCAACCTCCCTGGTTTCCCAGGACTGAGGGTTTTCCTAGGATGTGGGCTTTGGGTGCTAAATCCAGGAGGGTCCTGGAGCAAACTAGAATGAGTTGGTCATCCTGAGCCTCAGTTTCCTCTTCTATAAACCTTAAAGTGCTAACTAACAAAGCTCTCTGCCTATTGTCTCAGCTCCAGAATATCAGCTCCAGGGAGGTGGGGATTTTTGTCTCCTGCTCTATCCTCAGTGCCTGGCCCATAGCAGGGACTCTGAATGAATGAATAAGTGAACAAATGAATGAATGAATGGAGTTCTTATGAAGAGTAAAAGAGAAAATACTGGTTAAGTCCTTGGGAGATCATAAATGACAACAGTGGATTAAAATTGTTCCCATTTTACAGATGAAAGAGCTGAGGCCAGAAGAGAGCAAGGTCAACTATCCCATGTCTCAGAGCAAGAGCCAGAAAAGGGCAGGGTACGAGCCCAGCTCTACCTTTTCCAGGGCCGGACTTTTTCCAATTCTCAAGCCATCTAAGAAAACAGCAAAGGACTCGGGGGGAAAGGAGCTGCTTATATTATAGAAATGTGTGAGGCGATTGAAGGAGAGTGTTTGAAAGCCTGTAAGAGGTTTCTGGGTGGGGAGGAAGAGGCTGCAGACCGAAGCAGAGCTGTCACATGACAGGTCTCTCCTTACAAGTCCAATAAGGTGCATCAAAACTTCTGATTAGGGGCGGTGGCGGCCTATGCCCAAGAGAAGAGCATGAGAGAAAACCCAGAGCAATTTGTGGAGCTAAATGGCCAAGGTAAAGAGGGACAAGTAACGACACGGGGCTGTTTGGCCAGTGCGTAAAATTCTAAAGGCGAGCTAGACTTGTTAGACAGAAGGGGAAACTAAGGCCTGGAGAAGAGGAGAGCCTCAGCCAAAACCACCCATTGGTGACAAAAGGGCTCATGGAGTCTTGGGATTAAAAAGTCTGTGAAAGGCAGGAATAGGTTGAGGCAAGAAAAGAACTGGCATCTGGAGACAAAAAGAGCAGCTGCTAGCTTCTCAGCTCCCGGTATGTGGCAGTCACCATGCGTCTTCTACTTTCATCTTCTAACAACCTTCAGGGTTGTTATTATGCCCATTTTACAGATGAGGAAACTGAGGCTCAGACTCCAGCTGGGAAGAAGCGGAACTTCGGCTGCCTGACCCACTAGTCTGAGTGCTTAAACATCTTTCAATGTTGGCAGTTTGCACAATTTGAAAAATCTGAGGGTCAAGCAGGTGGATATAAACAGCCAATATTTCAGGGTCCTGCATTGAAGAACACATAAAATATAGTATCTGTGGGGATTTTTAGTATGTTGGTGATATGCATAGAACAGAACTGAGAAGGGAAAATGTGCATTCTAAGCTGATTATCCTAATAACTTGGTGACTCACATTTGATCCTTATTATAGCAACTGTGTGTATGTGTGTATTAAAGTACAATAGAAATGCATGAGATTCTTACGAGAAGTGAAAGCCAGGCTGCGGGATGTGACAGACCCGGCCTCAGGTAAAATCATTCATGCATGTGGGTAATGAACTTCTGGGCTCGCATACACCTGTCTCAGTGGTTAAGCCAGCCATTTTCTTGTTGTTTTTATTAGTGTTTCGTTTCTCCTTTCATTTATGCCATTCCTTCAACCACACATGCTTGGATTGTGCAACAACTGGGGTTACTGCATTTATCTGTGTGTGTGTGTGTGTGTGTGTGTGTGTGTGCACACGCATGCACGTGTCTGCGTAAGCATGGAGCAGGAAGGGAATTTTGGCTGTCTGCTATGCCAGACATATGTAGATGCAGTACAGACTTCTTCTTAATCCTCTCACACTCTGGGAGGTTCTACAGACCTGGGACTGAGGTTCAGGGAGACGAAGTCACTCTCCCCAAATCACACAGCCTATGTGGGGCAGCGTTAGGACCAAGCTCAGTTCTCCGTGAGCTTTCTTCACTGTGCTGTAACCCCATTCAGGCAGCCAGCAGTAAGCCTTTTCTGTTTTCCAGTCTTGTGTTTGTTTGCTTATAACCTCCTTTGTCCGTAGAAAGGGATTTGAGGCAGCTAATGCCTTTGATTGCTACATGTGCATAGCAAAAAATAGGAAAGACTTGTCATAAGAAACCAGTAAGTCATGGGTGAGGTATTTAGATGAACATAATCAGCTCTTCCAGGTTGTGCCATGTGGCTACTATAAGCTGACATTTTTAAAGTCTATCTTTAAAGTGAAACAGATTCTATAAATGTTTGACAACCAGGATACCAGCTTCCAGTCCCCTAAATAATAATTAGCATTTATTGAGCACTTGCTATGTGCCCAGTTCTGTGCTAAGCATTGTACATTCATCCCCTCTTTTAATACTCAAACTCATTCTGTAAGAGGTGATTATGACCCCATCTTCCAGATGAGGAAACTGAAACTTGGAGGTGAAGGAAGGCATTTACCTGCCATCCCTGCCTGACCCCAACGCCTGCCTCTGGCTGTAATGTGGAGCCCTCTGTGTTGATACTGGGAGGCCCTTGAGTTCTGCTGCCCCCCCACCCCCACCTTCACTCACCTGCTGTGCCAAACTTCTGGAGAAAAGAGGTAGCTGCCGTGCGCACAGGCTCCTGTCTCCCCAGAGGAGGCTCCTGATTCTGGGCTATCCTGTCCTCAGGCAAGACTGGAGCTCAGGGTCAAAGTCTGGAGTTACTGACAGGGCACAGCAGGGGTGGGGCTTGGGACTTCACTGCTCACAGGCTGAGAGAGACCGCCCCTCCCCTCCATGTGGTCCCTGAAAAGTTGCCTGACTTTTCTGGCTGATCCCAAGCCTCTGTGGACAGGCCTTGGGGGAGGGAGGAGGCAAGGCCGATGGGCACACGTTGGTCTGTCTCCCGGGCCAGCTGGAGACGATCCTCTTTCTTTTCTCTTCCTGCTGCCACCCTGGGGGAGGGGAGGGTCGTTCTCTGAGCCACTGGAGGCCTGGCCTGCGAGGTGGGGGTGGTCAGCCTGGCATCCCCCTAGGGACCGAGGTTCTGAGGACCAGCTGGCCAACCTAATGCCCTTCTGAGATGCTGGTGGTCGGGGCCAAGGAGACACTCAAGGTGTCAGAAAACAAATTTGGGCCATAACGGCTGTGTGGCTCTTTGCTCCCGTATCCCAGAGACGAGAGGGGCAGGACTCCAGGTTCCTCCTCTGCTAGAGCTGGACCTGGAGCTGTGATTATCGGAGCCCAAAGATCAGGCACCTCCCTGTACGAACATGGAAACTGGGACCAACCAGCCCTGGGTGAGTCATCTAGCTCCCACCCCCGCTACCTTCAGCACTCAATAAAAAGGTGAAGATGAAAAAGAAAAAGCTTGCAAAATACTTAATGGATAGTAATTTTCTTTAATAATAATAACAAAAAGGATGGGGTGAACACCACCTGTTACTCTCTATATGTCTATTACATTCACAAGTTCTTTGGTGCGTGTGCACTGTTCATGTATTTTATATCACACCTTAGGAAAATTCCTTGTACCTCTAGTTCATCACAGGAACACTTAAAAGTCAACCAAAGCTAGCCAGTTATCTTCATGGACCCCTCACTCCCATCCTAGCAGTGATGCGTGTTTTGTGAATTTAAACGAAGTGCTGTTATTAGTTGCTCTCTTTAACTTCAAAAACTTGCTCCTAGTTTCCACAGAAACTAAACAAGTGCCTCAACCCAGCCATCCTAGTCTTAAGCACAAAGTCAGGGGAAACAAAACACACATGAACTAAAAGGCTTGGCCAAGAACGTCATAGCCCCCAACTGGGAACAACCCAAATCTCTATCAGCTAGAAAATGGATAAAACAATTATGTGTTCAGACAATTCATGCCATGAAATATTACACAGCAATGAAAAAGACAAATCCTGCTATACGCAACACACCAAAATGAGTCTCACAGTCATGGTGCTGAGCAGAAGCCAGACAGGAAGGAACCCATAAGGCTTGCTTCCATACAAATGAGATTCAAGAAAAGGCACAACTAATTGATGGTGACAGAGGATGTAGGAAATGTGATTACCCCTGGGGGAGGTACTGACTAGGAAGGAGCCCAAGGAAATTTTCTGGGATGCTGGAAGCATGCACCTTAATCTGGGTGGTGGTTCCAGGAGTGATTGCATGTGTACACATTCGTCAGACTGCATGTTTAGGATTCAGATTAATGTGCTTGACACAGAAAGAGAGAGGGGGCACGGAGAGGGAGAAAAAAAGAGGGAAGGAAAGAAAGGAGGGAGGAAGGGACAGAAGGAGGAAGAAAGAGAAAGAAGAGAGCGGTTGCTCATAGTAACACTGCTTATAGGCAGAGGCCCAAACTTGCACCCAGGTTAGGATTGCCATATGTAGCGATTAAAAATACAGGACATCCTGCTTTTACATTTGATCTGGTGGCCATCACCCAGGCAGTCTGTCTCCAGAGCTGGAGCCCTCAGCCACCATGCGAGAGGGCTTAGCTGAAAGTGGAAAAAGGCCTCAGGCACCAGGAACTCCCCACACTGCAGGGCTGGAGGTGAGCTGTGGCCCCGGAGTCCTGTGCTGTGTGCAAAAGCATATTCATTCTTATTATTTAATTTTAGAAAACGAGCTGAGGAGATACCTATTGTTTTTATGATACAAACTACAGAAAGTTGAACAGAAAATGCTTGGATATGGAATTAGGTGGGAGCTATCAGGAGGTATGTGAGATTTTTTATCTTTATCAGAAAGTTGAGAAGTTGAAAAATACTGAGCTGGCTGCATCTGCCCATTCTACAGCTGAGTAAACTGAGGTCCAGAGAGAGGAAGGGCTGTGCCCTAAGTGCCACCTGGGTATAGGGCTCACTGAGTCTGGTGAGGGCAAGGCCGTTGAGAAACTACCCGTGAAGTCCAGAGTTCACGGGTAATACTGACAGAAGGTCCCCAGGAGTCCCAGAGGACTTTTGGAAGCAATTTCTGTTTATTTGCCAGGGTTGGAAGGAGCCAAAGAGCCTTCTGACTCACTGGCTGGTGGATAAACAACATGGCCTCCTAGCACTTCTGAAATACATCCCCACAGGGCAGAAGGATCCTTTGCTGGGAGAATTCTCTGCACAAGGCGGAACTCTTGTTAGGGACCATGTGAAGTTACAGAACATCAAGGTAATCCACACACATTCTCTCTCCCATGAAATCAGCTATATTATAACTTTTAAAAGTATTACGGTAGTCAAAACTTCTGCAAATGTATATATGATCAGAGGCACAGGGAAGAAGGGACTCATTACCTGCCACCAATCCCACCACCAAGCAACTGGGGCCATTAGCATTTTGGGTGAATATTCACAGAACAAAAATGAGACAGTGTTATGTGTGCTGTTGTGTATTCTGTTCACTTACCGACATGGCACGCACTGAATTTCTCTGATCATAGAACTGCAGCACCTGCTTCACACAGGATACCGTCCTATAAGAATGCAACACTTTTTAGTCAGTGTCCCTGTAATTTTCTGATATTACAAACAAATATCCTGGATGTGTTTCTTGGTGCACTTGTCCTTAGGGCCAATTCCTAAAAATTGAATTCTTGTGCCAAAGACTTTGCCCATTTAAAATATTCATCCATTTGGCCAGATGGCCTTCCAGAAGGGCTCCATCAATTGACAAATTTGAGGAGGTGTCCACCCTCAGGTACCCACCCTTCTCATCCTCAGATTAAAAGCCTGCTTCAATTTTGCACCCTCCCCCCACCACTTGCCTCAGCCTAGTTCCAGCCCTGCTTGCTAATGAGACGGCAGATCATCTCATACGTTGCTGGACCTTTTGAATTTCTTTATAAAGTGACTTTTTGTTGACAGTATTTTCTCCAACTGGTTTGCTGTGCAAAGGCTTTAAAACTTTTTTGTGGTCAAACCTATTTTCTCCTGTCATATTTAGGAAACTTGTTTCCCCTCCTCCCTGCCCTGTATTATAATTATTCACAGAGACTTTCCAGAACCCTTGAGGGTTGGTTGGTTTGTTGACATTTGATTCAGTGGGGATTAATTTTGGAGAACAGGAGGGGAGCAGGTTTTCCTTGCCAGTTTTACTCTTAGCTTTACTTGCTAGGCAATAACACCAAAACCATTTGTGGAGTCATTCATGTTTCCTCCACTGATACCTACCTGATTTTATCATTCACTAAACTTTCCTGTAGAGTTAAGTCTATTCCTGGGCTCTGCATTGCTCTGACTGTGGCTTTTGCAGCCAGTACCCCTTCTGTTCTAATTTCTGAAGCTTTGCTATGTTTTAATATCTGGTAGAACAGATCCTTTTCCTTTATTCTTGTTTTTCAGATTGCCTGCCTCTTCTCCCAAGCTTACCTGTCTGGCGGGGGTTAGTGATTAAGATATAGGGACTCCGGAGTTGGGCAAGTGGACTCAGTTGGTGCCCCAGCTTTGCCATCTCTGCCTGTGTGGTCTTGGCCTGGTATTTAAGGAATGCAGTGTGCACTTGGGAGGCCACATGGCAGGAGGTCGAAAAGCACACACTTTACTGTCAAATATGACTGTTGTCAACCCCCAGTTCCACCCCTCATGGTCCCCAAGATCTCAGACAAGTTTCTCCTTGAAGCCAATATGTGGAAGGTGTGGAGAGGGCAAATAATAGTACTTTACTATTGGAAAAATTAAATAACTAGAGATTTTCTCCTATTGTGGAATTATGATGAGATAGTGATAGGCACAGGACACAGTGCACAGTATGTGCCCTATAAATGTCAGCTTGTTCAGTTTTCTCTTGTCAGGATCTCTTATGCCCCAAAAAATCAGGTTGGGATTTTCATTTGAATTGCATTTAATTTAATTTAAAGAGATTGATAATACTACTAAAATGAGTTTTTCCATCCAAAATCAAAGCTTCTCCATCTCTCCATTTGTCTCTCTTTTTGTTCTTCTATAGAGTTTTTTTTTAACTCTTTACATTTTCCTTCCAAAACTGGGATCCTGTCATATACTGTTTAATGATCTACTTTTTTCTCCTATCAATTATTTTATGAAAATCTTTCACAGTCGTGCTGTTTTATAACATCTTTTTATACGGCTGCTGTATCAGTTTTCTATTGCCACATAACAAATTACCTCAAAATCTAGCAGCTTAAAACATTTTATCTCATATACTTCCTATGGGTCTAGAATCTCAGCTGGGTAGTCTTTGCTCAGTGCCCCTCATGAGGTTGCAGTCAGGATGTTGACCATAACTGCAGCCTCCTCTGAAGGCTTGATTGGGGCTGGAGGATCCATTTTCGAGGGAATTCACTCACATGGCTGGCAGATTGCTGCTGGCTGTTGGCAGGAGGCCTCAGTTCCTTGCCATGAGGACCTCTCTCCATAGGGTTGCTTGCAAGTCCTCAAGATATGGCAGCTGGCTTCCCCCAGGGTGCATGATGCAAAAGAGAACAAGATGTAAGAGTCTGGTATGACCTAGCCTCGGAAGCCACATGCTGCCCATTTGTCATATCCTAGTGTTCCATCTGTCAGTCCTCATTGTGGAGAGGGCTCCCCAAGACATGAATACCACAAGATGGGGATCCCTGAGGGCCATCTAGGAAGGCCATCATATGCATGTACCCAGATTTATCCCTCCAATGGGACCCTGAATCATTCCACCTTACAACTTGAGATTGCAAGGCCCAGCAAGGATTCCTGTGTTGTTTGTGGTCGCACTTCAAGTGAGAGGCCG